CTTCTTCCAAATTTTTATAATAATATTTTGATGGTATGATGTGTGATTACATTATTCAAAACATACAGATCTAATACATTGAGTATTTTAGTTAATCTTCTGATTAAGCTAAGAATTCCTAAACTAGGACTAAACTCCTGTCAAATTTATTCAAATTTTCAAACGTTAATCAACTGATACCATCTTGTGATGGAAACTGCTTAGAAACCACCTAGGTAATTCTTACGAAACACAAGTTTCCTAAGTATCTAAATTTATCAAGGTGAGAAATAGTATTTTATATCTTTATCGGATACATATGAATGTAAAAGCAAAGTAGGAATTCATGGATTACAGTCTATGTGTTGTTTATATATATATATATATATATATATATATATATATATATATATATATATATACATATGCGACTGTGTGAACGTAACTTGTTGTTCTGATAGACTAAGTATTTAGATCGTCTACTTCAATAGTCTGACATCTTTAAACCGAAACGGTCGCAGTACATAGAAAGGACAGTTTATGGCTATCTGCAAAATAACCTCTAGATACTTTTCTGACCAATTACAACTATTCACTGCTTCACTTTTGAAGAAATTTTTTCCTCGGAATCCTTTCAAAGTACTGTTTAGGTGTGTATTCTTAGCCTTAAAGTTTGATGTCAGGTTTCATAGAAAATTGAAATTTAGTCTAACATGAAGATGAGTAAATAGTATTTATTAATATGGAGTGGTGGATGGAAGTTAAATGTAAAACTGGTTGGTGCCAGACTTTGAACCAGAAACCTCGCGGTTACCGACCCATTGCCCTATAATCTGAGCTACAAGACTGAACTGTCAAATGAATCTCAGTTATACTTCATTAACCAAGAGTACTTAATCCAAAGAGAAGGGAGAACTCACACGATAAGAAAGGATCTGTCACTCCAGCTTTTAAAGTTAATTTAACTGATTGTTTTTGTCATTTCTAATTGCTTGATCATTTCATCTGTGTGGTTGCCTTTATCCTTCAATGGTATTGGTATTTAAGTATAAACTGTTTTTACATTTTTCTCACCTCAGCTAATGCTTCGTTAGAGCTGTATGGCTTACGAGAACTAACGGAAACATTATGGCTGTATATGCTGAAACGTTCCTCCCTTGGGTCCCTACAGGGAAACGATTTTCGATTGAACAGTAGTACAACAAAAGAGTTAGCTGCTTGTCCGTAGGTGAAATCAAACTGGTGATTTAATCAGACTGTAACAAAAGCAAAGTCTTTACTTGATGGTGGTTAGCAATGAAATCAAGGACGAACGTTTCATCCTACTTGGAACCTACTCTTTAGCTGCACGTACCTGCACTCTAGTGAGTGGCGGCTTTCCGACTGGGAAACACTTACATGCAGCCGAAGAATGAATTGCAGACTGGAGGAAACCAGTGTCCTGGATTCTACTGCAAACCACCATCAAGTAAATATCGACTCCATGAATAATCAGACAACTTTGAGACATTCGCATACGAATCCAAATCCAAACAGAGATCAATCAGTTAGATCTGTTACAACAAAAAATAAAAGTACAGTACATCTCAGTAGTAAACAGCATTTTACACTATGCTGTATTGCGTCTGTCGACAAGGGAGCTGAATAAATGAAGTAACACTCCACTGTCATGGAGGATCTATGTGTTGGATGAGCTCTCTATTATGGTAGGAACTTTAAGCTTTAGTGCAGATCCTAAAAGATCTGCATCAGATCATTAGAAAATTAAAGGTTAATTATACCTCCTTTTCATGTGTTTAAGCGAGAAGCAACTTTTCAACAAAAGTCAGTTTTCATAAGCTTGAAGATATCTGTTAAAAGAAATGTCATGAAGCAAAAATCATGGTTCTCAGATGTGTTTCAGTTGACGATCACCATCACACTTAGATACCAAACGGTCCCTCTGTATGCGGTCTGAGATTTCGTCAGTAATTAGTCCGTTCACACCGGTGCAACTCCTCAAGTAAGTGAAGTGGTTAGCATATTCCACCATCTCACTCCCTATCATTAAACTGTAATTAGTTGCAAACCAGTCCTGCAGCCTCATCTTACATTTGACGGGCGTGAAATGCAGGCTAAATATTTTTTAGATTTCTTATCAACCCGGTCAAAAGACCCTGCGTTTTTTCAGCGTCTTCACCCAGCAGGACAATGTAGTCTGCATACTCCAAGTCAGTCAAGTGACCTCCAGCAAGTAGGTCATTCATTGTGAAATCAGATTCGTCTAGGGTTATGTTGACTAGTATGTTTAAAACAAAGTTGTGCTGGAACGATGACGGCAGTTACCGCTACTTGTAGTCAGCTCGTACGATAAATATCTATAATCCCTGACAGGGCTGCATCGGTTGAAGTAGAGAGCTTTGGTTAGCTCTGTATGCTTGTTCAGTACTCCTTTCACCGCCAGACACCGCCATAACACCTAATGGTCGACAGAGTCAAGTGCCACCTGCTGGTCGAGAAATATGGCATGTAATAACCACCAGTAGGTATGTCTGTCTGGTCGATGCATCCTCGTCCAGGTTTGAAACCTGTCTAGTTTTTCAGGTTTCCTGTTCTCGAGCACCAGTTAGGCGTCGGATAACTGTGACACCAGAATTATGGTCGCAATATTAGTCAAACTAGCTCCTCTATGGCTGTTACAGGAAGACTTCTCTCCCTTCTTGTAGACTGGGATGATCAGTAAAGTACACCAGTCTGACGGTGTTACCTCTGATTCACACGGGCTTACTAGTACACTAATTGGCGGTTTCCTACCTCCATCCTTGAAAACTCTATGTGACAAACTGTCAAGTCCTACTACTATACATTGTTTTAGGTTCGAAATGGCTTTCTCAACTTCAAAAGAGTTGAAGGACTGACATCTACGTCCCATTCAATTTCAGGCTGGATTCTGCCCAACTGAAGCGTTGCTGACGGTCAGTTAAACTGTTTCAAAGGGTTCTGTCCAACGTTATAGTAGCCGCCTGTCCTCGGAAATTGTCAGCGTTCCATCCTTTTCCGGTGATGGCTTCATTCACCATCGTCTTCTTCTTGCTGGTGTCCTTAATAAGCCTAAATAGTTGCCGAGTGTTGCCCAACGTTGATACCGTCTCCATTTCCGTCGCTTTTCCCACCCACCACTGCTCTCGATCGTAACGACAACTCTTGGCCAACCTACGTTTAAGTTGCTTTCGCCTTCATCGTGGTCGGAGGCTGCTGAAATCAGTCTTCTCACATCAGTCAGTCCGAATGACGTCACGGGAATCCAATGATGTTTGTTAACCTTCGAATGTAGGTTACCATTGCTGTCACGTCAGACAAGTGCTTAGCTAACTCCTTCCCAACTACGTACTTGATGTCCTCATCTTCCAATGGAGCGTTGACAAGCCTTGCTATCGCCTATTTGCTGTGCCCAGTAAAGTGCAGATATGCACGAGCCCGTAATAGCGCATGTTGGAGTCCACACAGGTATTCCAGAAAGTGTGGCAATCCTCCATTGGTCCTCTTCAACAATGGCTTATAACAATATTATCTGTATGTGTCCGTCGTTGGTTTGATGTTGGCGGACGTCTTGTGAGACAGTGTTTCTCCTTACACGTAAAGTTTGTTGTGGCCAAAAACAGGTAACTGTCGGAATAAACTTGCAACAGACGATCGCCGTTGTCGGTCCACTGACATGTGGTTCTGTAAATACCTCCGAGATGCCTTTCCGATTGGCTGAGATTCCTTGCCATCGTGACTATGTCTGAACGTTTGGCTTTCTGTAACAAAATTTACAGTTTCTCGTAGAATTCGTCTTTTCCATTATGCGAAGTAGTCGGTGGTTGCGTGGGAGGAGATTACGAATACTCATGGCCTAGTTTCACGATCCTTCCTAGAGCTTACAGATTTATTTTGTTGGACAGCATATAAGCGGCTGTTTCTGGAATTCGGTCGAGTAGCGCACTTTTTGTTGTATAACACAATACTGTGCCTATACCAGCAGGTCTTTAACAGCTGGACACTGGGCCTCCGGAAACTTCTAAGGTGAATTTGAAGATTCACCACACTGGTCAGGTGAGGTCAATTTTATAACCAAACTCGGGTGCTATATACGTGCCTCAGAGATGCAGCATAAATTTATGATTCGAGATTTCGAAATTTTGGTGAGCGATGCTTGCTGTTCAATTTCACATAAAGTTCAAATGTTGAAAACCCCTACATGAAATCGATGGCGGGGTCTTAAAAGATTGGAGATGAGATTTCGATGGCTTTGATCGTTGACAATGAATGCAGAATGAGAGGTTAGGTAAGGCGTAATGTGCTTAATATTAGTATCAGAAGGTTAAGACAAGGGAGGATGTACAGTTAAGAGGGTTAAGTTATATTTGATTGGGTCTTGTGTACTGCTGGAAACGTGTGGGCGGTTGATACTTATCGGCTGACCACAACGCGTATGGCTAGTTTGTTTTGAGGTACCTGAAAAAGAAGGGATAGTGTGTGACTGCAGAGTTCATGAGATATCTGCTTGAGGCCGGTCATACGCGGCCTATAAACTATCACTGTTGCGTCTTCCAGTATTTAAGGATTTCATCAATTTCATCTATTAAACTTATGCTTTTCAAAAACAACTATCTTTATTACGTATTCAAAACTATTCATGTAATATATAGTAAGTGATACTTCAAAACTGATTTCCAGAAATTTACTTCCAAACCATATATAGTCATTTCCATATTCCTTTCATTCAAATACGTAAAAGATGCAGAATAAATCTTTCAAACGATTAGGGATATCATTCACTTGAATATACTTAATCTCTTCAATTATTATCGCCAAAATTGTTAAATATTAGTTCAGTTCTCAATCAGTAAAATAAAAGTTCACATGTTTAATATTCACTAGTACAATAGAAACTGTACAATGTCAACGAATAGTTCTCATAGTGTAAGATGACTACAATATGTATATGCACAGAAAAATAAAACAGATCAATCAACAAATACAACATTAATCAAATAAAACTATTCACCGTCATGAATCAACCGATTGAATACTTGTATTCCAGAAAGAGAATATGGTAAGGCTATGTCGATACCATCCATGATGCGCTGAGTACTTCGATAACTGAACTACAAGGAGGATAAAAGTGAAAAACAAACGGATTAGATTTTTGAAGTATGTAATTACTAAATAATTAGTTATATGCATTATTAATGCACATGATAATTGAAAATTTAGATGTTCCATACCATTGTGTTAATGATGAATCGTGGCTAGCAGTGAAATCCAGGATGCGCATTTCGTCCTAGTTGGGACTCGTCAGCAGGATGTACCTATCGGCTCCCAGTGAGTGATGTTGTTCCCACCGGGATTCGGACTCTGAAGCGGTCGCTTCAAACGCCAGCACGTTATCCACTACACCACCAAGTCACGATAGCCACTTCTTGTGCGACGGGTACAGTTTAAGTAAGGTTGTTTTTATATCATACCATCGTTCACTGGACCGAATTGATCGGTCTCTATTAGCATATGGGCTCCTGTGCGGATGCCTCGATATTGCCAGAAATCTAATTATGTTGATGGTGGATCGTGGCTAGCAGTGGAATCCAGGATGCGCATTTTTGTCCAGCTGACGAGACTCAAATGGGACGAAATGCTCGTTAGTTCCACACCATTGTCATGAAAACCATAAAAAGCAAGAATATGAATACCCAATGGCCTATATTAGGTGGGATTTCATAAAAACTATATTAAAAAAATATGTTTAACGAAAGTATTTATGAAAATCCTTAAGGAAAAGTATAAATTAAAATCTTTTACAGCCTCTAGTCTTATGACTTGAAGAGTAGACTCTATTCTATAAACTGGATTCGTTGAGTGGATATTATTCGTAAACATTTAAGATGTGGCACATTCCAGACAGAGGTATACAGATAACATGTAGAATACTCAGAAAAACCTGGATCATTTTAGTTCCAAGGTATTATTCATCATGAACTCACATCAGTCAGAGAACCACTAAAAACCTGCGGACACTCAACAACTGTTTTGTCCTCGAATGAGACTACTCAGCAGTACTCACCTTCGACCCTGCCTGGGATTGAACTCAAGATCATTAGGTCTTTCTAAGAAAGCGTTAGCCATTCAGCAACTAGATTGGAATGCTGAGTTAGCGATTCACTGTTATAATCTCCGTTGGTTGATGTTGTATGAGCTTAGAGACTGTGAGTATTTTGCGCATTCATCTCTAAACGTACAATATTGCACAAATAATAACTATTCTGTTATTCAGGAAGTGAACTATGACCTCCTTATGAATATGTATGAATTCGTGTAGGGTGCATTATTGTGAAGTCCAAAACTAATATGTCACAAGTGTTGAGTTCCATTGGTTTTCACTGATTGTCTAGCATATATCAGTTTTTGATGAAAACCATTGTTAATACACCCAATTCATCCAAAAAGCAGAAACGTTAAAACAGAATTGTTGGTACATTTTGTTTTATTTTTCGGGCTACTTATAGGTTCTCAATAGACAAAAGTATAACCATAAAAAAACAAAAAGAAAATGCATACTTGTCCAGAGCGTGGATGATAAAATTGAGCTCCTATTCTTGAAAGAAGTTCATCCACAAGGACTTTAGTAAGTTTTGGGTGACTTTCAAATGTACTAAATCAGGAGTAAAAAATAATTTCAACTAAACAACAGTTGACTTTCAAAGTGAGTAAAAGGAAGGGAATACAAACGTTTATATAATCTATATCTACTTCGGTCAATTTGTAGTCTATTTTACCTTTTTCTAAAGCATTCTTAAGTTGATAAGTACCCATAAAAACATGCAGTTAGATGATTAACAAAGTTTTAATCCATTGTTCAATAATGACTGAGGTGTAAAGGTTCGTCAAAGTAGTGTCAAACAATGAAGAGTATATTTTGAAGACCTCACAGTCAAAAGTTCAGCCGATAGAATTGAATTTATTGAGCATTGGGTAAATGGTTTCTAAAGGAAATATATTTGTAAGACCCCAGTGTATGAACAGTCTGGCATGATTTGGTTTTATTCACTATCTAAGCATGCAATAACTTGTACAGGTTTTATTCTTTGAAGAAGTGGCTTCCACCAGATCGCGAAAAGTCACAAATTAGCTTTCGTGCTTCACTAAGATTTAACAAATATATTTCCTTTATGATGAAGAATAAAGTTGAAGTAAGCACAAACGAGATGCTAAAAAAAGTGAAACACTTCAGTATAGATCCCTTTCATATATTCTGTATACCAGTTAGACACCTAAATGTTGGATTACAGAGGGATAGTTAGAAGTGACCGATAAGCGATGATGAGTATGTTTCAGTGATGTTTTCATTTAGCAACAGTGCTTATCCAAAACCTCAGATATCTAAGTTAGTCGAAAATATATGAATACACATCGTTCGGTTTCATATTTCGTAACGTTATTACAGAAAGTTCTGGGCAACAAATGATCTCACATCAAATAGTATTAAACACAATAACCAACTTCGAAATGCAGTTCAGAACTGTGCTACTTTCCTGACAAAAATAAACGGAGACCTAACTTTCTTTCGTATATACCGGGCTCATTAAACTGCTTGACTTTGCATCTCACAGCACTATGGTCCTTGCTGAACGATTGAAAACAAACGGCGATTGTTCTCAACAATCCAACAAACCATGACATGACTCTGATTACGACCAAACAGTTAAGTAGCGAATCTACCGTCTCTTTTCTTTTACGGGAAGTCACTGCAGCTAACTGTTCTTGATTATTTTATCATGATCAGTGACTGTCATAGACAATACATAGACGTATATCACAAGTCTTCTAACAGTTCACTTATAAGGTAACATGAAAATGAGAAGTGGTTTGTACTTGAAGATTACTGGATTTAAGAAAGCACGTATTCCACTTGTTCAACTTCGCACACATAAAACTACATATAGTAAAAGCTACTACAAACACATAGACTATGGTATGCCTACGAGGTCGATCACTGGAAAAACTATAAAATCTTCAAGGGGCAACACTTGGCTGCCACATCAGCAGTCAGAAGAGAAGCCATCTGGTGATGACAGTATATTTTCGTAATCAGTTTGGAAAGTACTATACACTACATGATTATCACTTACCATGAATTAGTTAAATTTCTATTGTATTCATATTGTTGTCTGTGTTTTTCCACTTCAATATTGAGCTTTGTTTGCATAATATCATTCAATCTCTACAAGTGAAATAAAGGTAGTGAGCAATTTCTTGTAATTTTAAAAATAATTTCCGTAAACTATAACCAAGGCTTGAACAACCAGTATCATACAAATATTGTGCACCGGGTGAAAGCTGACATACGGTTGAAGATATATTTGTACATTGATTGGTCACTAGAGAGTAGCAAATTTTATGTTGTCTGGTGCTGAGTGTTGACTAAATTGAATCAATCAGTTTCGGACCAAGCTAAGAAGTCGTACCTCTGGAAATATTCAAGGACAACCACATTGTAATGACAAGCGTTAGACTCTAATATAGATGAGGAGGAATTTTGAATGTTTGTTGAAATGCAGTCTTTTCATTAAGCTTACAGTAAAAGTTTGCGCTCAATATGATGTCTACGTTTCATTTGGATGACTGATGTCAATTTATTCACTACAGCTGCATACAACATTTACAAGGGATCTGAATCTTAATATATCCGAGAAAAAGTTCCAAATTTACTGGCAAAATGCATGAAATTTGATAAGCATTCAAGCATCGACTATTGTCTATGATTAAATGGTGGATATAAAACATTGGGAGCTAATTTGATATGAATAAACAAACTTCAAACTTTTTGCATCGAAGTTAAAATGTACGTTTTGATGAAATTCTTTCCGTATGTAATTCAATTTTCCGTTGTGTGAATTTTATAGGCGCTCATTCCGATTATTCAATGTGGAGATAATTTAAATGGTAGGGAGTTTCTAGTGCCGTATAATCATATGTAATCATCTCCTTGCCAAGACAATAACCGTTCTTCGCATCCAGATATGTGTGATTCACTCCTTTAAGATACTCATTGGTTGAATCCTTTTTCTGTTTAAGGTTTAACGCTGTTGTCAGTTTACATCACCATTAACGTGTGTTTTCTGCATATCTTACGAAGTTGTAATTCCTTGTAAGGGAACAGGTAGACTGCTGCAGTCAATTTCTTCCTTTGTTTGCATTATTTATATCTGGTGCACTTTTGTGTCTGTCAGTTGGTTAGAGGTAATCGGCAGGAAGCATTGCTTGATCAAGATTTCTTGGTTGCTGACACTCCTTAGTAAAGCGTATCTACAACCTCAAAAGAAGTGATGTCTTCTTAGAAATTCAAATCCACTTGATCCACTGCTGCAGTCAGTGATCTTACCACTGATCTTTCTGACCACACGGTAAAATGATGGGTAGAGTGTGTTTAGCACTTAGGACCAGGAAACAGGATATTGGTTATTCTCCAGGGTCTAATCAAGTTTTATATATGATTCATAATAATCCTATCTGTAAATTTAGTTTGCTTATGTATTAAATATTATCAAACACTTATAAATGAGATTGAAACATGCAATTAGTCTTTTATCAAATCACGATGACCGTTGCCTTAAAAAATGTGGTTACTACTTATTCATTATGATGAGCGCACAACTTCGACACTGTAGTTGATTTGTTCGATGTATCAGACAGTGAAATAGTATTATTTAATGGATAACCTTTCGGACACCGTTTCATCTTACGACACATGTAATAAATTAACTCAAATGCAATTAATACTAGGTGATGATTGAAGGTAAAATGGGACTCCGGGCAGTGATGGGATCGAACCAGTGACCTATGAGTTGCCGTCCGACTGCTGTGCCATCTAAGCTAGACGACCCTTAGGTAAGTCAGAGCTTAGCTCGACTGTCTTGTGAATTCGTGGTGCGCTGCTATCGCTTTATCGTATTCACACAAGTCGACCAGCCGGTATCAATACAATTATGCCAAACCACGTCTATCTTAAATAGTCAAACTCATAGTGAAATGGAATGACTAACTATTCAGCATAGAATCATCGTATCTTGTTACGTGTTGCCTCTACTGTCATTCACTTCCTTCTCCATTGAACATATGAGATAAAAAGAATACAAGGGACATCTTGGTTATCAAGTAATTGTATATACAAATATAGTATGGTCTATGATGTGGATATTTATACCATTTCTAACCATGTGTAAGGACAAATTGTTATTAATAAATTTTTCATTGTGTTACCACAATAAATTAAAAATTAATCGTAATAACAATGGTGTATCTAACCAATCCAAAAATCAATGATACTGGCTAATGTAAGACATTTCTACTACTTATTCCCAAGAGGCATCTCATCTGTTCGAACTAACTGAATTTATCCATACATGTTGAACCACAATAGATGAACTTTTTGGTTTGATTTAGAACCCTTTTGTAGAACGTTGTTTGCATAAAAATCAATTGCGTGTCTTATTTACAGTGTGTGCAACACAACCACCTATTTTTTTTAAAGGTTCTTAGCATATATTAAGGCTTTTGACACATGCTTTACACATAGTCTGTGCTATCTTACAAGATTAATCTTAATAAATGAATCTTATCAGCAAGGTTCTACGCTGATTTTGTCTGTCTGTCTGTCTGTCTGTCACTGCAGAATCCCGCTCAAGTGGTTGACTTTTTATGCAACCAGATATCATGACCCCACAGTCAACAGATGTGACTCATATCCCAGTACGGAAGCTGGTACATAATGCAGAAAGTTTCATGTGAAACTCTTAACACTGATGCAATAAAACACTAAAAACTAATCAAACATTTTTGATTATACCCTACTGTTTACTTTTTATATAAAATGGTGGTTAGGAAAGAGTTATAGATGACGTTAGAATAATAACTGGTTGCAACAAACCTCTACTTGCCTAATCCCGAAACGAAATTGACTTAAAGTCTTGTGGTGATAGATAAATGTTAGGCTTCTACCGTCAAAACAACAACATTCAGAATGCTTTTTCAACTTGGACGTTAATATTAGTTCAAAACACCAAAATGATACTCGTTACTTTCACTTAGCTCTAAAGTTGACCACAGAATAGCTTGATGTTGTACAGTTGGCCAGAAGTGGGGATTGTTAAACGGTTTCGATTATATCAAGTTCATAGTTGAAGAGAAAGCAAACAAAAAGCTTGCATTTTTATCTCCTCTGATTACTAGAATGGATTTGGGAAAGTTGGAAAGTGAACTGCATAGAAGACTAACTCAAATGGAGCAAATACTCAACTACATATGCTAAAACCCAACAACACACAAGATCAGTTGTATAAATTATTGTTTAAAAGGGTGAATATACACTAAATAAATCAGCTTTACGGAGAAGAGAAGAAAACTATTTAATAACTGTTTTTTAGAAGAATGGTTATCAATATAACTTCATAACAAGATGCTTGTCTAATTCGCTGTCAGCCACAAAGTCAGCCATGGAAACTAACAAATGGATTGTCTAGCCCTATATGAAGAACATCTCCGGGATAGCAACCTTCTGGAATTACTGCAGCTCACAAGTCCATCAAATCTCTTCACTTATGTTATGCAGGCCAAAAGATACAACAGTAAAGAAAGACAAGCCAGACGTTCTCTACAAAATAAACTGCAAAAGCACCACGTCAGATAAGCGGTCACCCTCTTCATATCTCCCTACATGAGCACTAACTTATAGCGGAGTGTCGTGACATCTTCTCTTACATCAAGGTGTGTAGACTATTGTGAAAATAAGTTCGACCGAAAAAATGTAAGGATCCTGGATAGAAGAAATGCAAGGATTGTTGGAGAATTTTCAAAACCTTGCCATTCAGATCAGTCAGCAATCATCGGACATATCGACAACGACAATCTACCAACCAAAAAAACACAAGAGACCACAAGAAGGTCAAAGTTCACTTCGGTAGGACAACCAGTCACGAAATGTGTGGATACACTGGCAGCATCTTAGCAGGAACAGCCACTAAGATGCAAGATCATAAGAACAAGTACGAAGCCATTTGTGGAGAGAATCCTATGCCTTATTTCTTTCTGAAGTTTTTGCTGATGGTGTTGTAAAGAATGACAATGAGAAAACCTCATGATTAAATCATCCATCTCGGCAAACACCAGCAAAATTAAGAAACATACACCACTAAAAGAAATGGGTAGTCTAAAGTAATTCACATCTATGTGGAGGCTTGATCTGATTTTTACCTCCCTGTTTCTTTCATCGATAATCAGTCATATTCGACGTATACCGTAACTTGTACAGCTCATATCTTAACTATTCAGGACACTATCATTGTGAGTAGCTGGTTTAAATTTGCCGGGCACATTTTGACTGTTTTGCGTCTAATGCAAATATTTTCTTCCTTTAAGTTAGCTTTAACGGTTCAAGTTTTTGATGTCAGAATTATTGACGATCACTAGACGGAGAAGCAGAATTATAATGAAGACAAATTATCTAGCAACTTGTGAAGTCATCTCTAATTTTCAAGAATATAAATCTTCTATAACTCGCTGATAAGAATAGATTATTTGAAAAATTCCTGTTTTCAAGAATAATTTATTCGGACAAGATTTGAGTGAGCGTAGCAACTGTCTGTTTTCTCATTCTTAAGGTCTACAGGCGAAAACTAACAAGTTGACAGAAGAGGCAGTGAAAACGGGACTTCAGGTGAATGTAGAGAAGACGGAGGTGATGAAGATACCCAACCAACAACAACATCAACAATAAGCACCAATCACCATTAAAGGAAGCAGCCTAAACCAAGCAGTCTGCTTCACCTACCCACCTACCTAGGCGGCATCGTTTCAACTACAGGCGGCACAGATGAGGATGTCAAAACCAGGATCGGAAAGACAGCAAGACAGGCTCTCACTAATCTGAAATCAGTGTGTAGACCAACTGCACTCAGAACAAAGAACAAGATCTGGGTTTTTAACACCAATTTCAAGTCAGTGCTGCTATATGGTTCAGAAACTTGGCGTGTCACAAAAAACATTTCCAACAAACTACAGACATTCATCAACAGCTGCCGCCTACTCCCACTCGATACTGAAGATCAGATGGTCAGAATAATAAGAATAAGCTACAAGGAACTTACTCTGGGAACGAAGCAACCAATAACCTATCACCCAACAAATATGCAGAATAAGAAAGCGGAGATGGATTGGGCATATACTGAGAAGGCCGATTGGGAACATCATGCCTCAGACCAGGCCCTCGAGTGGAATCCAAGGGGAAACGACGAGTTGGGTGTCCGAGGGTGACATGGAGATCATGTGAGGAAAAATGAAAGCTTGTGGGCAGTCGTGGCGCTAGGTTTTGAATACTGCAGAGAGCAGAGTGCAATGGAGGCGTGCTACTAAATCCCTATGTTCCACTAGGAACCCAAGAAAAATAATAAATAACAATATATTATAACTACTGAATACCTTATATAACTGCTGTGATAGATATCTATCTAGTTGAGGTTGTCAGAGGGGAAAAGTATACTAAATACTTTTCACTGAAGACCAAATGATAACAATCGATTATGATTACTAAAAAGTGTCTGGCATTCTCAAAAAATTTTTCAAGTAAAAATACTACTCACTTTAATAAAAGTAGCATCAGCAACAATCTTTTCTAACTGATCACGGTTTTCAACTAAAATCAATAGTAGAAAGAAACAAGCCAACAAAACAATAAGGTGAACTTTACGATAACTAATTATACTATTTATTTTATAGAATCTAGGGGTTATGCTTAGACTAACAATATCTGAGATAGACAAAAAGGAACCAATGCCACATAATGAGAATAAAAATCGAATGAGGTGTTTGAAAAACTTGCAGTCCTTGGGGACAAATATCACAATCATTCCCATATAAACAAAATTATTCAGGTCACCTAATATCACCTGCATGACACCACAGCTGACGTCACAACTACGACAGTAAAGGCTGTTCGAAATATACTGTTAGCTGGCATCAGTAGTTCTAAACTATTCACAATAATCAGGAGTGGTTGCTAGCCAGATTAAGGTGTTTTGAGCACCAGACGAATCCTAAGTATGATCAGTTAGATAATTTGGCTAGTTAGAAATCATATGGTTTGAACAATCCAGCACTCTAAGCACAGACAGTCTGCTTACACTGCTGATGAGCTCCGCTCAAAACGAAAGAAGCGGATGTCCGGAGGTCGATCACCATGATCTGGGTCTAGCACTAGTCAATGTTATATTGAGTATAATAAAAGTTAATTTTTCTGGGATACTGTTTGGTAGAAACTGTTTGAATACAGAAAGGTGAAAACTACTCTTCCTTTCTTTGTAATGGTCAACAGTAGGAACTGAAGCCCTCATGTCTTGTAGTTATCACCTCAGCTATATTTGTCCTCTGACCAATATGTGGTTATGCAACATGTTAGGTAATACAATGATAATTCTACAGAGGATTTCCAGAGATTCTTATCTATTCATCAAAAAGATTTTACGGTCCCAAAACCACAATAACTGTACGGATATCTCATCAAAGTGATACAAGCAATCTCCCTTCATAGTTAAAAATTTCCAGACCTGACCAGTACACATCATTTTGACTGCAGCTCCCGTTCAGAACATCCAGTAATATGAAGAGAAGTATACTAATTGCTCATAATGAGATTTAAAGTCTTCGTGGGTTTTCCGAACAAAAGGATTTAATTTTGAAGGCTTAGCTGCCACACTGATGAAAATTATTAAGAACAAACTTGAAGATCCAGATTCTACAAGTTAGTCAAACCAAAAAAGAAACCAATCAGCTAAATTCTGCTAAGCAAAGATAATTTACTTTTTTGAACTTTTCAAAAAGAGTCTTAAATTAGGATGAAGCCGTTGACTAGGGGTTCATCAACCAACACTTACGAGTGACATAAGCCAACTTCTGGTTTCCCAGGTCATCAGTTATTGTCCGGAATACTCTACCAGTCAGCTTGGTTTATTTACTCCTCAGACTCTCATTCCTACTTCTGATTGTAATTTTGAATACTCCCTAGTTGTACGATTTCTCGTTTATTCACTTTACTAACTATAAGCATACAAACCATAAGTATTACTCAATAATGAGAAGACTATTCACTTATTCGCCCTTCGCATAATGTCTAATTTTACCTGTATTGCAAGTGAATTTCCACCATTTACGTAATTCATTGACTACATTACTTCCTTGCATTAAATTAAAATTGTTCGACTGTGATTTATTTGAATTTGTTGTTGATTGTTTTGAACCATGCATAATAACTCCAGGTGGTGGTAACTGGTGCAACCAACTTCTCAGTCGAGTCAGTAGTATACGAATCGTATGAGGAAGTAAAGCTTCTTGTGGACTTTCATAATCTAAATAGGCTGGTTGACGGCAGATTATTTTAGCATTGTTCGATGGACGCCACCTTTTATCTGGATCCGGTGAACGTGGAAAGTATAGACCTTTCAGAGCATTTGTACATACTGAAGAGTCCACTGTCTTAAACATTGCGGGAAGAGTTGAATACTGTGAATAATAAAAAAATTTAAAGGCAAGAATATAACTTGGGGAGGAAGGAAGGTTGACCATCAAAGTTATATTGGCCAGAAATCAGCCTGTTTTTAATATTAAACGAGATTCATATGAGACCTGAAACTGAGTTCCAGACCCGTAGATCCTTACAAGTTAAGAAGCTTTTATTCTCTTTAAGCACTGGAATTAGCCTTCAATTGTGCAGTGGTTCAAAGTTTCATATTTAGTTAATAAAAAATAGTTTCAATGATAAAGAATTGAGTTGTGTATGGAAAATGGCTCACAAATCTGAAATTTTTCTCACATTTCAATATTAACTGCCAGTTGAAGTCAAACGATCAAGGAACTAATTGTATTCATTGGTATCACGGTCATGAATATGCGGTTCTTTAACTAGCATACAACTGTTTCATCCGGTTTTTCATGAGAACACAGGCCTTGAAGCTAAAGAAGCAGCGCTGTAGTCTAAATCTCATGAAAATAAAGTCAGGATAATCCCAAGTTCGACTTGAAACACCAGTCGTAGACTAATCAGCAGACAGCTATCTACGGCATGCAAGTAGCGAATACAGTGCTAAACAATAAGAGCGATCATTTCTACCAGAAGAGGGCATATATGTATTGTCAACTTGGAGGTTTATCAGAAGTTGGGTGATTTCAAAAGTGTCTTCATCAGCGATGGACAGTGACTAGAAAACAACTGACCACCTAGAAGTACTGGACGTCTTCCTGTGACTGAGTAGTTATTTGATCAGTGCTAAACCTTATGGTCCTTAGTTCAGTCCGAAATGTTGTCACATGTATTCACTTCTGAGAAGTCACAAACTAGGAGGAAATAGTTGCCTAGTGTTTTTTCGTTTTAGTGGTTCTCTGGCTGATATCGACTTAGGATGAGAGATTATTTTTAAATACATCTATAGTGCTTAGAACTAAACAAAATACGATTCATTACTACTTATCATTATGCTTATAATTCTCCTTTGTTTTATTCAATCGAATTGTTCAACCTCATTGGCATATGGGCTCCTATGCGGATACCTCGATAATGCCTGTATGTTAATTATGGTAATTTGGCTGGTTGTGGCTAGCGGAGGAATGCAGGACGCGTGTTTCATCCTATTTGTTTACTCGCCACGTCGAACAGTTCGATCCAATAAAACAACGGGGAATCACAAAGATATCAGTCAATAGTAATAACTAATACCTGTTGTACAAGAGGTGGCTATTGTGCCTCAGTGGCTTAGTGGATGACGCTTAGGCCTTTGAAAAGATGGATATGAGACCCCAGTCTCTGTAGAACAACATCGCTCACTGAGGAGCATATATTTCCAGCTGACAAGTCCCAAATAGGACGAAACGCGCACCCAGGATTCTTCTGCTAGCCACAAATAAACAAATTACTAAAATAAGACTCATCTTGAGAGTTAAAGACCAAATAACTAAGAGACCGTTTAGGATATTTTGTCTAAAATTTGATATAAATTAACTACACTTCATATCGCATGTGAACTGGCACTGCAACTGGGGGCTAGAATGCTGTTCAGAATCTGTCGTAAAAATAACTGCCAGCAAAACATTGCTATATAAATTTATTTATCCAAAGTTATATACATGCACTAGATGATTTCGCGAATCAATCATATAATTGTGCAAAATATCTGTAGATTAGGCTGAAAAAAGTCGACATATTCCAGCTGTTGATGACCTCACACGTTAATGAGTAAGATTAATCCTATTTTCAAAAAACTGTCAATAAAAGTGGATTGAAATTCATTTTTACGTTCTTCTCATTTCAATTTCTTCCATTTGATTCAGGAAAATTGTTTAAAAGAATGTAATTCCTGTCAATGCGCTTCATAATCGAATTAACGCCATAAGGAAATAATTTCTTGGGCTTAATAATTAATGCATACAACTCACGAGTGGAATGCGTTAATTTATAACCAATTTGTACAAACTTAAATACAGATATTTGAACTTATCTCGTTGCGTTCAAGTTTCAATTCTATCTAGGTGTCATTGATCAGTTTATGTTATTTGAACCTGATTAAATGGGACTTACTGGTCCATTAGAAAAAAAAATTCATACAACTTAACTAAAAGGGTGAAATCGGTTAGATGCGTCAGTGTAATTTCTTGATACTCCTAGAGTTCAACATTAAACCACTCATAAAATATAGTATAGTCTGAGATAAAACGTTTTTAGGAAGAAATATCATACAGTTTGGACAAATGTACTTCAATAGAGAATCACGAAATAACCTTCCATTAATATTAATTTTGTAGTGCTGCTTTGCAGAAATATTTGTAAGCCTTTTTTCCACTGATAAATTTTTTTACACAAGTTACACCATACATTGACTGGTCACTTAAGGATAACCAAATTCATGTTATCTATTCCTATGCGGTGACCAAATTCTACTAATCGATTTGGAATGTGGTCACGAGGCTGGGAGACTTACCGTCGCGATGCATTGGTGTTACTTGAAGGACGTCAACTGACAGGAAGCCCTGGTAGAATTACTTTCCATGCTATTTGGCACTTGTCACCAAGGCGTATCTGTGATCTAGAGGAAACTGATGTCCCGCCCGAGATACACGTATATATACCATGTATGTTATCCAGTCAGTCCTACAGGAGATGAGTCGTGGCTCAAATAGTTCAATGGTACCTCTCTGACTCTAGCATTGGGTGACGTGGGTTCGAATCTCAGGCGGTACATCAGTTTTATCGAGGTTGCAAAAACACCTTGCTAACCAGTGACAAAAAGCACGAAATCTAGGTCCAGGGCTTCTTGACTACTGTCTCTATCCAATGAATAAGATGCACCATTCAGAAGTGATACAGAGTCGACTGAATATATGTTGTTCGTTTTTTTATGACATGAATGTACCATATGATTTTGTGCGATTAACCAGGATTTCCAGGTTTGTCAGTCAAATATAGTGATACATGAATTGTGTCATATGAGGTCTCTAGACAAACAGCTGCTAATATTCGTCTTCATCTCTGTTCAGTGAGTAGGTAACCAACCTTATGTGCCGTAGTATAAACAGTAGTATGGGTTTTATGGTTATTGGTGGATTACAAATTACTTTGAGTAACGAGAAGAATTGCTATAATCAAATACCACATGAAAGAACTATATATATATATATATATATATATATATATATATATATATATATATATATATAAGCACCAAACTATTGGTTGTATTACTACTTGTTGATATACTTGTAGTTCCCTATTGTTTTACTGGATTGAATAATTCGACCTCATAAATATTCAGGCAATATCGAAGCATCAGCATAGTATCTCATTTGCCAACAGAGGTCGGACAGTTCGATTCAGAAAAACAACGGAGAATCACAAGTACATCAACAAATAGTAACAACTAATACCCATGGTACAAGAGGTGGCTATCGTGGCTAAGTGGCTTGGTAGATGATGTGCTTCGGCGTTTGGAATGATGGCTATGAGGTCCGAGTCTCAGTGGGGACAACATCACTCACCGGGGAGCGGGTATTTCCAGCTAACGAGTAGCAAATAGGACGATTCTTCTACTTGCGACAACTAGGTAAATTATTTGATGTACTGATTGATTACATTGTTTAAGGTCTAAATACTTACACGTTTAGAATTATGCAGTAATTTTGTAATACGTGAGAACAGTTGACGTCGAGCACGGCCATGGCACATAATGAGGAATTCTTCAAATCGTTTTGAAGTCTGTAAAATGAAAAAAACTTAACGATAAGATCTCTCGAAACCCTTTACTTTAAATTAACTACATATAACCAGTATATACGAGATGTTAAATGAGTCGTTCATCCCAAGCCTTTTATTTTAGTTTCTTTAGGTTCTGGATATTTTTTACCGATTGGACAACTATTAGGTGTCTGGCAATTTTATTGGGCCAATTGGTTATCTATGGTTTAAGTACGCTGAATTATGGTGTTACATATCAATGATGGATAGTGGCTAGCAGTGGAATTCAGGAAGTGCTTTTCTTCTGATTTGGGACTAGTCAGATCGACGTACCCGAGTTCCAGTGAGTGATATTGCCCCCAGTAAAAGCGAAATTCAGGACCTGTTGCTTCAAACACCAGAGTGTTATACACTAGGCCACTAAGCCATGATAGAAATCATATCTGAACTATGGTTTTAAATTTCTGCATAGATTCCTTGTTCATACTATTACCCAGGTACGATTCCACTAATTAAGTTCATTAAAGAATGCGGTTACTAATTGAGTGCGTAGGTCGAACTGTTCTTTACTCCCTTTACTTATCTTTTATAAAAAATGACGTATTAATTTGATACTGGATGATGCCTATCGAAGGTTTTAAATCACAACAAATCGCGAGACTGTAGAACTTAAAGCAAAGTTTGCGTTGTAATCTAGTTTTTTTCGCTTACACATGGCCATTGGTTAAACAGACACAAACACGTATGAAGTTTATTCCTTTCTGTGCTTTTGGTTCAGTGAATGAGGTACACATTACTAACAGTATGGATCAAGTCTTTTTAATGTTCAGTAAGTCAAAGAAACATATTTGATTCTAAATCGTTCTCTAAACTGATTAATTTACTGCTTATTGTCACGGTATAGGATGAATTGCTTTTAAGTAATACTCAGGAACATCATGGACGTGCATGCAATCAAAGATTTCCATTCAGTAAACATTTCTGCACTTGTATTTTACCGTCTGTGACTGTGCTATTTGTGCATTAACAAGCATAATGATTTGATGAATTTCTCGCCATATATTCAACTATATATCTCATTCAACAGCATTTACGTGACACTAGTTAGTAAAACAAGACTACAGATATAAAAATTAACTTTTAGCAGAAGCAACTGAATAGCGTTTTGCTTCATTCTGGAAGTGTTTGGAAATTCACGCTCTTCTTCAAAGTAGATTTAATATTAATTGAATGAATAAACCATGATATTCTGAATGGTCAATATCGGTAAAATCAATATGAATCACTCTAGGTGTCTGCTCAAAAACCAGTGAGTTTGAAAAAAATTAATATTGTCTTGCTTAGTTCTCTGTAGGAAGCTGGTGATAGACCTCAGTTCAAATACAACACCCGGAAACTGAAGGACGAAACTACAAAGTGATCTTCACGGCAGCCATCAAGAGAAAATGGGAGATATCGAGGAACATCTTGAAGAAACCTGTATGGAAGAACACTGGAAGTCTTTGAAGGCTATGTGGAAAGGAACCTGCACAACCGTATTAGGAAGGAAGAAGAAAGAAGACAAGGAATGGATCTCGACGGCTACCTGGAAGCTGTAGGGAGAGGATGGTGAAGCAGAAGATAAACCAGTGCAAGGATGCTCACGACAAGAGGAACTGAGCACAATGTATAAAACACTGGACAAAGAAGTGAAGAAGAGTGCACGCAAAGACAAAAGACACTTCTACGAAACACTGGAAGTGAAGCAGAGAGGCTGCAGGTAAGGAGACCTGACGACATTGTATCAATAACCAGGTTGCTATCAGGAAGAGACCAACACAGATGAAACCAATAAAATGAAAGGAATTTAATTACAAAGAAGAACGAGAACGAGGGCCGACCACTTCAAGAAGCTCTGAATCGACCCACCTGCACTTCGTCCAGAATACCACCTGCAGCCGCTGAATTACAAGTGAACATTAATCCCCAACGAAAATGGAAGTCCTGAACGCCATAAGCTACTGAAATGTGGAAAGCAGCAGGACCAGATGGAATACCGCCAGAAGCACTGAGAACAGATGCAGAGACAACAGCGGACATGCTCACATCACTATTGCAGAAGGTGTGAAAGTCAGGGAAGGTACTGCCGATTGGAAGAAGGTTACCTTGTCAAACTGCCGAAGAAAGGAGACCTCAGTGCCTGCAAGAACTGGCGCGGAATCACTCTGTCCACCCCAGTAAATATTAAGCCGCATCATCTGAGAGCTAAAGGATGCGCTGCATTCAAAACTACGACCGGAACAGGCAGGCTTCAGGAAGTACAAATCATGTGCAGACCAAATTGCAACGCTTCGCATCATCATAGAACACATAGAATGGAAATCAGCTCTCTACCTCAACTTCATCGACTTCGAGAAGGCCTTTGACAGCGTCGACCAACAAGTAATTTGGAAACTGCTTCACTATACGGAGTACCGCAAACCTTTATCTGCCTCATTCAATAACTATTTGAAGATGCCACATGCCAAGTAATTCACAGTGGGAAGCTCAGTGATGCGGGAGTGAAACAAGGTTGCCTACTATCCCCCATGATATTTCTGATTGTGGTGGACTGGATCATGCAGCAAACAGTGGGGAGCAAGAAGAGGGGATACGCTGGACTGTGGAAAAAACCTAGAAGACTTGGATTTCGCCAATGACTTGTGCCTGATGTCACATAAACTTGAATATCTACAGGCAAAAACTAACAAGCTGACAGAAGAGGCAGCGAAGACGGGACTTCAAGTGAATATAGAGAAGACAGAAGTGATGAAGATACCACACCAATAACTCCAACAACACCAGCAAACTCCAGTCATCATCAATGGGAGAAACTTAAAGGAAGTAACCTCCTTCACCTATCTAGGAAGCACTGTTTCAACTACAGCGGCACAGACGAGGATGTCAAAGTCAGAATCGGAAAAGCAAGACAGGCGTTCATTAGCCTGAAACCAGTGTGGAGATCTTCTGCCATCAGCATGTGAACAAGATCCGGATTTTAACACCAACGTCAAGTCAGTGCTTCTGTATGGTTGAGAGACTTGGCGCGTTACGAAAGGGATTTCCAATAAACTACAGACATTCGTCAACAGCTGCCTACGCTGGCTACTGAAGCTCAGATGACCAGAAAGAATAAGCAACAAGGAACTCTGGGAACGAACCAACCAAGAGCCTATCGCTCAACAAATATGCAGGAAGAAGTGGAGATGTATTGAGCATACACTGAGAAGGCTGACTGGGGACATCACGCGTCAGGCCCTCGAGTGAAATCCCCATGGGAAGCGACGAGTTGGACGTCCGAGGGTGACATGGAGGTCGTGCGAGCAGGAAATGAGAGCTTCTGGGCTGTCATGGAGCCAGGTTCAAAAGATCTCAGAGAACAGAGGTCACTGGAGACGTGCTACTGAAGCCTATGTTCCATTAGGAACCCAAGGGACTAATAATAATAATAATAATAGTTCTCGTAGTTACCAGTATCTCTCAGTGTAACTGTTAAATGTAAGCTATTTGTGTTTAGATGATAACTTATTGTATTTTCCGGTAGATATCAAAACATCTTCGAAAAGTGTCTATGAATCAAAGTTTAATAATTGTTTGAGTCTATAAGGAAGGAGTTTTCGTAATTTCTGAAGAGGTTTACACTCTTGCCAGGTATTCAACAAAAGACATTATCAGTTAACTACTCGAGTAAGGGATCATATACACAAAGGCCTTTTCAAGAGCAGGTTTTGTCTTATAAATTTACTACTCACTGTTTTAGCATTAATTTCTCTCCATATTCAGTAGAAGCATCAAGGAATAATGATGGCGTCATGTGTCCAGGATTACTAATCTTAAAAAAAAAAGAAAATGAAAAGTTTAAGCTGAACAGTTTTGCTGAAGTTTATTATTATCATAACTATGCATGTATTACTGAATAGGAAAAATATGTTTTAAAATGATATGTATAGACATGATGAAAGACTTTATCCCTTAGTATTCTATTACACCCTGATTTCAGAAGTATAGGGAGATATTTCAATCGCCTTTAATTTCGTAGTTCCAGATAATATGAAACTACTGTTCGGCTTCAGTTACTGTGTACATGTCTTTGAATTAAAAAATTGTAGCCACAGTCCAGTGAGCACTGAAGTATAATTGTTATGAAGTGATTTAGTGACGGAACCACTGAGCTACCCAGGCCACTGACTAAAACACCGGGTGACGGGGATTTAAGTCACAGAAGAGACGTCACTTCCCTTGAGGTTGCAGACATGCCTTTCTGACCAGTGCCAACAAGCTGTAAATCTAAGTCTAGGGGTTCCTAACGACTGCTTCCAACCAAACTAACATCCATCAGTCTACACCACCATGAGAAGTCTTATAGCTTGATGGCCAAATTGCGAAACGATCGACAGAATTCTGTCAGCAGTCAGGACTAGGTAACATGAGATTGTTTGCGTTCCAGTGGCCAGCTAATGTATACTTAAGAGTATTTTGTCACTAGACAGTATAGTTACTTCTTCAACCATTAGACAAGAAAAAACACTTTATTTTGTATTTCTGAATACAATGAAAATGTGAATATTCTTTGTTCGACAGCTTATTTCATTTTTTTCGTAAATCAGTGATCTGATCAGAACAGAAATTTAGTTAGGCACATGACTTTGCATCACATACTATTTCAGGGAGTTTCTGGCGCACAAGTGAATTGAGAAGGATAGGAAAGCCTCCAAGAAGTGCTTATTAATTAATATACTTGGGGTAGTCGTCACCTTAATCGTTAAAAAATGAAACTACATGAAAGAACTATGTGCCAACAATTATGAAAATCAAGTCCACAGCAGTTTTTGAATTGCTCTTAAAGGGATAACAGTAAACACTATGCATTATGGTACTGTATTATTTCACTTTATGACTGCGCTATGAAATTCAGTAGTAGAAATTAAACCCCCACTTCCAACAGTTAAGGTTTAATGGTAGATTCGTTTAATGTACTTCTTTTCATGAAGAAACGTTTGATATTTACAAAGATGAAAACAACTGGTCAAACAGTATTTTGTAATAATTAATAACTACCACACAGGAATGTTTGCAATTTAAGGGAAACATACGGTTTCCTACAGACTTGGATGGTGTCGTACGGAATTGTGTTCAGAGATGAGTGAATGATTTACCAGTGATAATAACAGCCCACTTTATGATTTAGTCCAGTATATCAATCATTTATCCGGTAATTGTCAACTTCATTTCATCTAACCTGCAGTGATGACAAGCAGTAAGCTAAGTGATGCAACGTAACACTGAAATATTTTGTGAGATAATCAGAGATTAGGGATGAACGTAGATCTTTTGAAAATTCGTTTGCGGTCATCATTTAACTGATCAAATACTGTGTTATGAGTGCTAGTTTTGCTTTCTTTCGGTGGTATAAATGAACAATGAAACTAAAAGGTCCTTTCAGTTAAATTTAGTAGACCTTTTGAATCTTTCTTATCAGCAACGACTGGTGTTACCAAACTAACTCACTTCCTTTAGCAAACTACTAGATCACCAAATATTTACCATTCACAAAACTTTCTTATATTTTCTTACGGGAAGATTAGCAAGGAATCAAAATTTAAGGCATTATTTCAATCGCACTACATCTAAATAATTAAACATTTGCATTCATACAACTTGTAAAATTCATTTAAGATGTCTGAAGTCAAAGAGGCGAATTTCGATACTGTTTTCTCAGTAGAATTTGTACAAATTTCAAACCCCGTTAATTAATTGTAAACTGCTAATACGATTCAGCTGATTATTTTAGAGGCCACACAAGAGTTTACACGTTAGCAGAAGATTCTTTTCCAATATTTATGTAGCTGTTTATCGATTATTTGCTTCGTAGACAAAAGGATGCTAATATTTGCAAAGCAGCAAACAGTAGGCTGTACAATATCATGAGATGGTCGAGTCTGAAAGTATCAATGGTCGTAATCCAGGTGCTTGGCACCGAGCCTAACGCACTACTTGTAAATAATAATATTTACTACTGCTGAGGAGCATCGGAATAATTCAAAATGTGTACTTCCTGAACACTGGATATTTAGTCACCAGGTAACGAGGTTCTATAAATAGCACAAAATTCTCTAGGTGATTTCATGATTACTTCATCGGAAATGATTGGTAATACTAGCCAGATAAGAAAAAGTGTGCAATTTAACCTAAACGTCATTATATCTAACGCAACAATTGATCGTACAACAGAATTTATCAACCTTAAATCAAAAATAAATTTTGGTGGTAAAAAATGAAAGAAAAACTGGAATTTGATCCAATAACAATTATATACGACTATCCTACCTGCCATGCATGAGGATTTCGGTTGGATGTGATTCGATAAAAGTGATTGGCATTCAGTTTACATTTCATCTGTACAAAAAGACGAACATAAAATGTTATTTGACTATCTGACATAGCCGTAGTTTATGAATCGATCATTTTATGTTTGTACTGGGTGATGAATGAAGGTGAGATGGAAATCTTGACCATGACCGGATTCGAACCAGCGACCACCGGGTTTTCGGCACGGTGTTCTGCTAACTGAGCTACGAAAATATCTCAGATAGTCAAATGATAATCAATATGATGTTCCCCCTCTTTGATTCACTGGGATTTGGACTGGGATGAAAAGTCCTGATTAGGCAGCCACTGTGAATACGATCAAGCGGTAGTATCTCGTCACGAATTCACATGCTAGTCGGGAGTACCCTTGGTAATCAAAGTGAAATCAAATTCTGGTCAGCCGTCATACCTCGCAGCTCATTCGGTAGAGCACCGGGCCTGTAACCCGGTTGTCGCCGTTCGAATCCATCCGCGGTCCAAATTTTCATCTCACCTTCAATTATCACCCAGTATAAACATAAAATGATGGAATCATATATTTGCATGTTGGCTAATATAGTTGACTATTGATACCGGTCAGTAGTTTAGATAATGCACACAATATATTTTGTTTGAATGCAATTAAAAGACAGTAAATAACGTGGTAATACAATTTCTAAAGAAGGATATATTGAACTGGGAAATACATTAGATAAAGCGTTCTAATGTTGTGTGAAGCACGCAGCAGAATAAGTATGAATACATTGTGAAACCTTCCTACAAAATAGTTATTTTCCTGAGATCGTCAACACAGTAAATGTATAAAAGATACTGTTCAGCTAGAATAGTAAATACTCACGTGCTTTTATTCACAACTCTACTTCACATTTTCGTGAACATGCATTGGGTAGTAATGCTAAGTTTGTTGATGAAAACTTCATTCAAAAGAGGAAAGTAGTGAAGGTTCTGAAGTTGATGTCTGTCGAAAACCATCATGATCATAACCACAAGGTTATTCAGAAGCAAACACTGTAAACTAAGACTGGCATAAGTGAACAAAGATCATTCATTTCAGCAACTTAAAAAATCAGTTTCTACAAGTGTTTATCCAATCGCTCTATCAAATAATAAATGCATCTAAAAACCGTGAAACAATTTTACCGTACTCAGTCCCCAATGGCAAATAGTTTCAGAACTCTCTTCAGAAAAGACTGGTGTTGATAATTATGCCAGAACCAATACTAATGATGGAATACAGCTCAAAATAGTTAATCATGTTAGTTGAAATATATCTTACCTAACAATGACTCGTTAAGATTACTTATTTTAGATAGTTGCTGCTCAACGTGTATGATAATGAATGACAGTGATTTCATGAAAATTACAGAATGAAAGTGAATATAACTCAAAATCAACTCGGTTTACTTAGATTATAATCGCCGTGCAAATGATAAACCTTAGGATAAGCAGATAGGTGATGATATGTTGCGAAACGTTACGCGTGTAAGCGATGTTGTGTATGTAAATGCTGAGTTGAATCAGCGACAAGGTAAAGGTACTACTTTAATTTGTACAAAATGTATTTGGAAATGAGTGTATTGATTCCCTTGTATTTACCTCTGCATTCAGACACATATCGATATTCAGACAAGGTACCAATTACGTTTAATATCTCCTCTATTTATGCCAGGAGTTACCCATTCTCATAGCGTTCATGATCGAAATGAATCAAAGTGATTTTAGGTGGTAGTCATACTCAACCAGTAACTACCATGAGAACGCTATTGTTAACCATCAGTTTCTCCGAATAACCACTGTCTAAGCCAGCAGTTTTGGCCATCTAGGTGAATTCCAGTATGATATTTCATCTTGGCATTGCTATATATATGGTAAGTATTATTCTCAGTTGCACACAATTATGGTATATTTCTTGTTTTCATATAGCTATCGCTGAAACAGCAAAATAACACCTTAAACATATACGTTGGAATCTTCAACTCAACATTTAATGCTAATTTTGTGATGTTTGAAAAACTGAATACCTGCCATTCAAGATGAATTAGTGGACTGATCCGTTGCATCTACCTTTCCAATAAATCCTCGCTTTTAAATCTAATGCCTATTTAAGAGGTGACTTTATGAGATATGCTAAGACATCCAATGAATCAAACCATCTCATGTTTAACTAGCAATCATATTGGTCCTAGTGAATTACTTCAGAGTAACGTAACTAAATGTTTTACATCATTTTGGTTTATCTTACAACACTGTTATATACACATGACAGTAGAAATTATCTTCATAATAGGAAATGGATTTTGAATCTTTACTCACCTTCATATGCAATTTCACTCTAGTAGTAGCCTATGACATTGAATATTCTGTGCCTACAAGATACATTTAACTTCTGTTTTGAAATTTTGTATTATTTTATTATTACTTGTTCTTTAGGTTCCTAGTGGAACATAGAGCTTTGTTAGGACGTGGCCATTTCACTCTGTTCTCTGTAGTCTTTTTAACCTGGCAGCACAACTGCCCATAAGTTTTCATTTCTTCTTCACACCATCCCCTCCATGTCACCCTCGCCCCAGATGCCCAACACGTCCTTTCCTATGAGGGTCCCACTCGAGGGCATGGTCTGGTGCATGATGTCCTCTTATTAATCTCGTCATCTGATCTCCATCTTCAGTATCGAGTGAGCGTAGGCGGCAGCTGTTCATGTACGTCTGAACTTGGTTGGAAGTGGTTTTCTTAACGTGCCAAGTCTCTCAACCATCACATAGAAGCACTGACTAACTTGAATGACATGAGTGTTGAAAATCACGATCTTGTTCACACTTCATGCTGAGTGGAGTGCAGTGCGGTGCAGTAGATATCCACACTGATTTCAGATTATTGCAGGAATGCCTGTTTTGCTGTCTTTCCGATCCTGGCTGGCTTTGACGTCCTCGTCTGTGCGCCTGTAGTTGAAACTAAGTTGCCTAGGTAGGTGAAAGAGATTACTTCATTTAGGTTTCTGCTGTTGATGGTGACTGGTGCTTGTTGTTGTTAGTTGGGTATCTTCATCACCCCCGTCTTCTCTACGTTCACTTGAAGTCTCGTCTTCGCTGCCCTGCCACCTCTACCAACTTGTTTGTTTTCGCCTGTAGATCTTCGAGCTTGCGTGATATTAGACATAAGTCATCATTGGCGAAATCCAAATCTTCTTCTGGGGTCATTTCATCGGTCAAATAGCGTACGCCCATTTTTCCTCGCAATTTCTTGCATAATCTAGTCGAGCACAATCAGGAAGATCACCATTGACAGTAGGCACTCTTGTCCTACTCCTTTCTGTCTTCACCTGAAGGGCGTCACTGAGCTTTCCATTGTAAATCATTTGGCACGTAGCATCATATAGCATATAGCTGCTCGTGAATGCGGCTGATGAAAGTTTGTAGTACTGAAACCGTAGTACTGAAGCAGCAGCTGCCAAATTACTTCTCGGTCGACGCTACTGAAGGCCTTTTCAAAGTCGATGAAGTTAAGGTAGAGTTGAGTTGACTGCCATTCTATGCTCTGTCCTATAATGATGCGTAGCTTAACGTTCTTCCTGAAACCAACCAGCCTGTTTATGTCGTAATTTAGAATCCAGAACATTTTCATGCCTCTCAGGGATGATGCGGCTTAATAGTTTCCTTGCTTCGGGTGGACAGCATCATGATTCCGTGCCAGTTCTTGCAAAGGCTTACGTCTCCCTTCTTTCGGATGTTGACAAGGTAGCCCTTCTTCCCCTCAACCGGCAGTAGCTTTCCTTCCTTCCAAACCTTCTGCAGTAGTGGTTTGAGCCTGTCCTCTGTTGTTTCTGCGTCTGTTTTCAGCGCTTCTGGCGGCATTCTATATGATCCGTCTGCTTTCTCAGATTTCAGCAACTTCACGGAGTTCTGGACTTCACTTGTGCTTTTCTTAGAGATTCTGTATTCACGGATGCTTCTGTAGCTGCTGATGACGTTTCTAGATGCATTGCAGACGGTAGTGGTGGTCAATTCAAGAGCAACTTGAAGTGAAGCCCATCGATTCTTTGTTTCTTCTCTTTGCTAACTAGGTTTCCTTCATTATTTCACGGCTTTTGTCCGCATTCATCTCTTCCCAAATAGTAACCTGGTTATTTGAAATAATATTGTCAGACCTGCACTACCTGCAGCCGGTTCTGCTGCCTTTGAAAGTGTGTCGTAAAAGTGTCTCTTGTTTCCCTTCGTACTCTTCTTCACTTCCTTGTCCAGTGTTCCGTAGGTTGTGTTCAGTGCCTCCTTTCGATGTTCATCCCTGCACTGCACTACACAGGTTCATCTTTTGCTTTGCCATCTTCCTCTCCTCTATAAGCTGCAATGTATCCGTGGAGATCCTATCCTTGTCTGGCTCCTTCTTCCCTCCTATCACAGTTATGCAGATTTCTTTCCACACAGCTTTCAGAGACTTCCAGTGTTCTTCCACACAGGTTTCTTCAGGAATGTTCCTCGATATCTCCCATTTTCTCTTGATGACTGCCGTGAAGATCTCCTTTGTAGTTTCGTCCTTCAGTTTCCGAGTGCTGTACTTGAACTGCGGTCAATCACCAGCTTCCTTGAAGGCTTTTAACTTGACTTTGAAGGTACCTTGAGCTAGATAATGATCTGAGCCTACATCTGCTCCCCTTCTTGACCTTGTGTCCAGTAGGCTGCGTCTCCACTTCTTTCTGATTGAGATAAAGTCGATCTGATTTTTAATGTGTCCTCATGACTGGTGAAATTCATGTCGCTTTGTGAATATCCTTGTGCTTGAACACAGTACCTCCAATCACCAAATCGTTGAATGCACAGAATTCTTCAAACAATTCTCAACTTTCGTTCATTTCACCGAGCGCTTCTCGACCCATGGTTGGTTCTCTTCCTGTGTTGTCCGCTCCCAGTTTGGCATTCATGTGACCCTGCTAATTAGAATTCTGATGTCACCAACTGAGGTCTTTTCCAGTGTTGATTGCAGTTGTCTGTAGAATCCCTCCTTTTTCTTTTGCTCTGCATTATTTGTAGGTGAGTAGCATTGTATGATTATGACCTTCCTTCCTTCCTTTTGAGTTGAATCTTGCTGTCATGATCGTGGAGGAGATTGGTTCCCACTTCATGAGAGTCTTCAATGTTCTTGGGAACAGCATGATAGCCACTGCCTCAGTGTGCTCGTGGTTGTCGTCTGGGTGACAATATCGGAGTAGATTATTGACTCCTCTCCAGTTGACAGTTTGGAGAGTCCACTTCCATTCCATCTGCTTTCGCAAATTCCAAGCACTTCAATATGATACCTTTACATCTCGTTTGCAATCTGGGCTGTGTTGCTAGGTTCAAACATGGTGCGGACATTCCATGTCCTCATTCCTAATGTCGCCTTCATCAGTAGGAGAGGGGACACATCGGCCGATAGGCTTCTCGAAAATTTTCGTCTCCCGGACTCCAGCTAGGAATAAGTTTAATTATATTTTTTATATTTTTTTGTGTTTTTTTAAGTTTGTTCAGCGGTCACTTTGGTTTCACGGTGTAGGATTGCTATCCTTAAGGCCAACCTTCCCTCTTTATGCAGGCTTAGGACTGACTAGTAAAGTAGGCGAGGTTTTGGAGGTTTGCGGGGATTGATTAATTGATTTCAGGTTGGTATTCATCACAGACTGAAGATATTCAATCATCAACGCCACTGTATGGAGGTTGCACTATATCGTGAAATGACAGAAGTTGGAAATATTGGTCATTGGATACCGACTGCTGCCCTAATGGTAACGTGCTGGTCGCTTAACCTGAAGGTATTGTATTCGATCCCTGTTGATAATGTGGCTGGTTGTAGGCCTAACATCATCACTTTAAGCTTTGATTATTTGATTATTTTCTTTTTTAGTGAAATATTGTGAAAGTATAAATCTGATAGATAAGTATTCACAAAAACTGTATCATTTATTTCCCCCACAGATTCTTATAACAAGTCGGTGTTTAAAGTAACGGCATATATTAAAATATGCGTAAGTCGAAGAACGATCGTCTGAAGCCTGTATCCGAACTTTTGGACTGTAAGCTATTCATATGGGTTTTCATGATTATTGAGACAACTCTGGTGCTTTAATCATGAAGATTATGAAGTTACGGAAAATGGGAAGAACAATTTTGTTTAAATGGATTCATATCAAATATTGAACAATTTTTGAAGTGAAACAAGCGCATAAGAATTACCTGTTTCGATTCAAAGTCTGTTAAAGCTCTAGCTAATACAGTTTGTCCTTTGGCAAGTGGACGTACTCGATGATAAATAGATCCCAAATTATCCAATAAACGATCACATAATTTCAGTGCTTTTAAATGATCTGCTAACGTCTCTTCGAAATGCTGTTCTAAGGAATAATAAAGTAACATATATTTATGTGAAAAAGTTGATTACATATGACAAAAATGAGACAATATGGAATATCATTGTACATATGAGCTAAAACCTAATATTCATAAAAAAATATCAGGAAATGAAAATCTAATCATGTTCATAATACTTGCACAGATGTTTTTGGAATTCGTTATCTTCCTATCAAGGTATAACGTTTGTAGTTGGTTAAAAGGAGGGTGAAAAAAGATCCTCAGTTATAAAAGCTTACATAGATACATTTCTTGCATCGAAGTCTTTAAAGTCAGCTCCTAATCATAGAATCCCATTTACAAGCTATACAGAGTATACAGTGATATAGTTAAGACTTTATACTTGAGTTTAGAATCCCTTGCTATTTAAATAAGTTAACAATCATCAGTACAAGTCCCTCAATCATCATTTTACATCTGAAGTCCTTACAGACATACATTAAACATTATACCCTGAAGAATGAATATAAGCTTGGAATAACATCCTTCTTTGTTGTGTCCTGCTTCTTTTCTCAAAAAATCTCAGGGATGACTCCACTGAATATTGCAAAAGTAGAAAGATCCTAGTCAAAAAGCACGACTTTAAGTTCTATATTGTATCAAAAGTGATGGTACTGAACATGGTTTGGATTTTATTACCTCGCCTGGTTAACTAGTTCACTAGTTACTAGCCGGTCCTAAGCCCGAGTAAAGAGGGAAGTTTAGGTGTAGGGCTAGCAACCCTAGCCCGTAAAATAAATCAAACCGCTAAAGAAACTTCAAAGCACAAACAAAATATTAAAAAAATGAAAATAAAACTATTCCTTGCTGGAATCGGAGAGGCCAAATGACGCCAGTGGTGAAAGCCTGCCTTCGGGAAGCCAATTGGCCGATGTGTCCCCTCTCCTACTGATGAAGGCGACATTAAGAATGAGGACATGGAATGTCCGCACCATGTTTGAACCTAGCAACACAGCCCAGATTGCAAACGAGATGTAAAGGTATCATATTGAAGTGCTTGGAATTTGCGAAAGCAGATGGAATGGAAGTGGACTCTCCAAACTGTCAACTGGAGAGGAGTCAATAATCTACTCCGATATTGTCACCCAGACGACAACCACGAGCACACTGAGGCAGTGGCTATCATGCTGTTCCCAAGAACATTGAAGACTCTCATGAAGTGGGAACCAATCTCCTCCACGATCATGACAGCAAGATTCAACTCAAAAGGAAGGAAGGAACGAAGGAAGGTCATAATCATACAATGCTACTCACCTACAAATAATGCAGAGCAAAAGAAAAAGGAGGGATTCTACAGACAACTGCAATCAACACTGGAAAAGACCTCAGTTGGTGACATCAGAATTCTAATTAGCAGGGTTACATGAATGCCAAACTGGGAGCGGACAACACAGGAAGAGAACCAACCATGGGTCGAGAAGCGCTCGGTGAAATGAACGAAAGTTGAGAATTGTTTGAAGAATTCTGTGCATTCAACGATTTGGTGATTGGAGGTACTGTGTTCAAGCACAAGGATATTCACAAAGCGACATGAATTTCACCAGTCATGAGGACACATTAAAAATCAGATCGACTTTATCTCAATCAGAAAGAAGTGGAGACGCAGCCTACTGGACACAAGGTCAAGAAGGGGAGCAGATGTAGGCTCAGATCATTATCTAGCTCAAGGAAGATCTACAGGCGAAAACTAACAAGTTTCCAGAAGAGGCAGCGAAGACGGGACTTCAGGTGGATATAGAGAAGACAGAAGTGATGAAGATACCGCACCAACAACTCCAACAACAACAACAAACTCCAATCACCATGAACGGGAGAAACTTAAAGGAATTAGCCTGCTTTACCTACCTAGGCAGCACTGTCTCAACTACAGCGAGGACGTCAAAGCCAGCCAGGATCGGAAAGACAGCAAGACAGGCGTTCATTAGCCTAAAATCAGTGTGGAGATCTTCTGCCATCAGCATGTGGAACAAGATCCGGATTTTCAACACCAACGTCAAGTCAGTGCTTCTGTATAGCTCAGAGACTTGGTGAGTTAAGAAAGGGATTTCCAATAAACTACAGACATTCATTAACAAGTGACTACGCTGGCTCTTAACTGAAGCTCAGATGACCAGAAAGAATAAGCAACAAGGAACTCTGGGAACAAACCAACCAAGACCTATCGCTCAACAAATATGCACTGGAAGGAAGTGGAGATGTATTGGGCATACACTGAGAAGGCCGACTGGGACATCACGCATTGGAGACATGCTACTGAAGCCCTATGTTCCATTAGGAACCCAAGGCATAAGTAATAAAAATGAAATTTTTTAAAAATAGGTGTGATTTGAAAAGTAGCTATGTACGTCCCTCTATAGTCATTTTAGGTGACCTTTATCATTACTCAGAGGAGAGGTGAATTTTATACTATAAGTTATGAAAGAATTGCTTTCAGATGTTTTCAGAAGAAAGCAGTGTTCGATAATGTAAAACGTTTCTACAGTATTGTTACTTAGGTTACACAATATGCATTCATATACTGTTTTTCTCTTCAGTTACATAGGGATTCATGTAAGTTTGAATGAACAAACTGTTGTTGAAGGATGCCCTCTTTAAATGCTTTGAGATAAATCTATCCAAAAATTAGAATAATAAAATCGGAACATAACTGAGTGACTTGGTTTGCCCCCCTGATGACGACTTCTTATTAAAACTCCAGGAAAGCCAAATCAGATGTGAAGAAAGGGTTGGATAAAGGTCACGCTATATCGGTAACTGACAGAATTAGGAAAACAGTTGCAACGTGCTGGACCCCTAGTGTAGTCGTGGGTGTGTATGGCTGAAGAGTATCATAGTGGGACGAAAAAGCTGTTCGGTGCTCAAGGATTTCAATGACCTTCCAATTTGTGACAGTCCATAATGAATATCAACTTGAGTTTCAGTAAATATCGTTTGTTTCGTCCTGTTTGGGACTCATCGGCAAGATGTACCTGCACTCCAGTGATTTTGTTCCCACTGGGACTCGAACCTACTACCCTTCGCTTCAAACAACAGAGGCTTTTCTACTAAGCCAGTGGGGCATAACAGCCACTTTTGTGCAACGGGTATCAGTTTTGTAATGTTACATGTAATTTCCCGTTGCTATTCAGGGCCGAACTGCTCAAGCAGCTGACGAGTCCCAATAGGAAGAAACGCGATCCTGGATTCCTCTGGTAGCTACAACTAAGTAAATTACCGTAATAAATATTCAGGAAATATTGAGTCATCCGTAAGAGCGTCAATATACCAACAAACGTTGAACATTTTGATACAGCATGACAATGGAGGATTACAAGTACATCAACAAAAATTATCAGACTATCATAAAGAATAAAAAAGAAACGAAATATGGATCTAAGTAGATATGAACTAGTATATTTAATGATATTCCTAATATCTGGTTATTATACTTGGTGGAACTGATTAGTCTCTGTTCGCATATGGACTTAAGGGTGGATCCGTCGATGTTGTCTAAAGATTCACTATGTTGTTATTTGCTTGATAGTGGCTAGCAGGGAATCCAGGATATGCATTTTTAAGCTATTTAGGAGCCATCAGCTCAGGGTGCTTCCACCCCACAGGAACTCGAGCTTAGTTCCTATTGATTCAGATGAGAGATGAATATTCTTTCATAGCTATCACTAAGCAATTAAACTAGTGGCGAAATAGTTGTCAAATAGTAAAAACTGAATGGGAGTGAATAAAAAGGATAAAACTGTAACGTCAGTTGACAATAAGGTGAGAACCAAACTAATTACTTCCACTGGAAAAGTTCCTCAAGCATTAGTCCACCTTGAAAACTGACTCCAAGGACACATTCTCTGTAAAATGCCTGAGGCTATATACAATTTCTCTTTTGATATTTTCTACTAATAATGCTTAATAATAATAATAATTCACTTTATTCCAAACAATATGTGGCACAATTTGGAATTCTCAGCTTGTCTGTTACTGAAAATATAACATAACCTGAACAGTATATATCGCTTCTTCAGTGAAGTAACTATAGATTGCGTTTAAATGAGACATTTAACCTTTCCGAAGAAATGACTAAATTATAGTTTAGTATTGAAAAGATATATCAAAGAGTTACTTCATTTAAAATGTCAATGTATCATTCGTAAACACTTGTATTCACTTTTTTGAAAAGTTCTGTCAGTATTTATTTCGCTACTCATGAAATTTTACACCTAGTACTCAGTATTTTTAATCCTGATATCTACAACTCATTTCTGCACTCACATAGTATGATAAAAATCATACTATGAGGGTTGGCAGTTTGAAATCTAAAATCTTGCATATGCACAACATCATTTTATTGACATCAGCTGCTTTTTTTTTAACAGATCATAGAAATGTTTTAACTTCTATTGAAACCTGAGTACATTGCACAGAAATGAGAAGTATTTTCTTATGGTATCAGTTTTATAAATAAATATTTGGTTTCTATGTTTTATTCGGCACTGCTACAGTTTAAGTATGGTTAGCTATACTGATTCACAGTAGCAATAACTGCTCAGTATGTTGAAAAGGCTACGATCCCTCAGTTCTTTGACTGAAGAGCACAGCGTTTTTGTTTCATTACGAATGTCGTATATGGGGTGGTTCGGATATTTCAGAAATGTCGGTATTTAGAGAGTATTCTGGTAATGTATTCACTAATCGCCTCAGAAAGTCAGTACTTCTATCCTGTTGATAAACTTAGATAACCATCGAAGTATTCAATTTGAGGGTTTGTGGGGTTTAATAATTTCAGGTTGATATTCACCATAGACTGACATTAGTTGGAGGAAAACTGGAAACCTGGGAGCACTAGACAGCTGTTTCGCCCTAGTTGGGACTTCTCAGCAGTGCGCAACCATAAGCTCATCAGGGTTCGAACCCAGGGGGTTCAGGTTCCGCGACCAGCACGTTATCATTGAGACACTGGGTCGGAATCCAATGGTCATTATTCCCCACTTCTGTCTGTTCACGATATAGCACAACCACTCGATCCCGACCCAGAGACTCAGTGGTAACGTGTTGGTCTTGAGTTCGACCCCTGGTGGGGTCAGGGGAGAACTGTTGTGGAGTCCCACACTAGGAAGATACAACTGTCCGGTACTCTCAAGTTTCTAATGTTCTTCCAACTAATGTCATTTCATGATGAATACTAGCCTTACATTATAGAAATAACTGAATGTCAACAGGTTCAGTTTATGCGAAGTCGATTTTGTCGCTTCTCTATCTTCAACACTATCTAAGTCACTTATGCTTTTCCTTAATCATTGCTGATTAGGAAGAATGATCTAGTAGGAGTCAAAAGTTCAAGGTCACCTAGAGTATTACGACAAAATGTATGTGAAACTGACATGCTTCAACAAAATCAGCTAGAGAATACAGATCAGTCACTAGCAAGCCAAATAATTCACCAATAAATGAATAGATCACCTCTCACGTTGTTACTAAGTAAATATACCCTCAGTTTTCACATGAGTAAACAGTTTCAAAGTGAATGAATATAAACGAACTATTGATGGATTACCAACAAGTGAAGGCACTTAAAAAGGTGCTTGTCAAGGCATATATGAGGAATCTGTTAGTCACTGCTTTCTGACCAGTTCATGCACATACTCAAGCTCTTCACGGGGTTATTGATAGCCCCAGTAGCATAATGGTGAAATTTCAAGCTTCAGGAATAATTAGTGCGGATTTTGATTTCTTAGATTAAATGAGTAGTTTCCTCAAAGCTGCATATACACTTTTCTGAGTAGTCCAAAGCGAGAACAAAACCATTATTCATCACAGCTACCTGAAAACTTATTTCTAAAATTCATCCTTAAACTTAAATCACTGAAATGCTGTGTACTTCTTCTAAATAGGTACAATGCACATAACGAACTAGTTAGTACATACATTTATCTGAAGTCCTACTACTTATTCTCGGGTAAATATTTTGATTGTGGACTGAGTAAAACGCTCACCACTTTTAGACTCAGTGGAAGATTAATCTGTATTCATTTATTCCTAACCGGTTCACCTTCATTAAATGCGACTGCTTAATCTTGATAGTTAGATACTCTTTGAAAGAATTTACAGTTATTAGTAGTGAGTATTAATGAATTTACTTGTATGGAAGAAAAATTAAGAAAGTAAACTTACATTCAACTGTGAATTCATTTCATAAATTGATAAAATTCTTGATGCATGATTTTCTGTTGCATCCAACCAATCCATTACAGTCCGTATGGAATGAATAACCTGAAGATGGAAAACAAAAAGATAGACTTGAAATTATTTTCAAAGTGAACTTATTCAGATTTATGTCGAGTTGTTAGGAATAATTATCATACGTTGATAAATTTAGGTCTGCCTTTTGTTAGCTCGTATATGAATTATGTACCCACAGAGTCATTTTTCATTAAAAATTATGATCACCATCGTTCGCAGACGTAGAACATGATTACCCAATAACTAAATGAATAAATGAATGGATGGAACAAATTTTTCTTGTTAAAATTTCAAATAGAAGGACTCTTCTAGGTACATAGCTTTCTCTTACCACATTGAAATATTCCATAAGTTGGCTTTATTGCTATATGGCTACCCTTGACCGATGGACTTTAGTCATTACTAAAGATCAAACTTATCCCTACTAAATTTCTAGACAAAAGAAACGAAAACTTATGAAGAAGATTTTTAGTCCCATCTACCTTCTGTTCTGTTGTTTCCCCAATATTAGGAATTTTTCATGACACTGTCTAACACCTAACCATGAACTCATATGAAAAGCACTCACTTTCCAACTGTACAATCACCATCGAAAAAAAATTGAACTAACTATCACCAGCACAAAAATAACATCATTAGGTAGCAAATCATAGAACAACTGACTACTACTCAATAATTCTGTCTTTAGATTAAACATGAAGTGCAATTGAGGTCGTACTTTTGAGACATAGGAGGAATACGATATGTGCTTCAAGTTAAGGAATGTTTACTAATGTTTGACTGAAATTTACTGACGAGTAAAATTTTGAGAAGAAATATGGTAACATGATTTTTTTTTGTATGGTCTTTTATGATTTTTCAGTAGTTAGCACTTTCTATAGTCCTTCACACCAAACCCAAACTTTCAAGCCTCTTCGTGATTATACCACCTTTGCGTTAGTAATGTGGAATTCTAGTTATGTTGTTTTTTATTGTACAGAGTCCATAACCTATCTGTCTTTCCAATACTGAACTAAATTGCAGCAAAGATCGTGGATTTTCCAGAATATTTTCAGAAATTTATCTTTTCTAAATATACCAGTGATTGACTGTTATTCACATTAACGGTTTTGATGATTTTAACTACTCTAATATGTATTTCAGTATTCCGTATTACTTAGAGGACACTTGAGATATATACTAGAGGATATCAGTCTTTTTATTTTAAGCCAACAGCTCATATGTGCAGTTCTCACACTAGAATCTGAATGCTGTCACTTCAGTAAGCGTTAAGTTTTTTGTCATTAACTGTGAAAAGTTGTAAAGTGAGCCAAAGTAGTTAATTCAATGAACCTTGATTTTCCACTATCCTTCTGTTATCCTCAAATTACCTACCAGCCAACTTCTTTCCGAAACATTCGACTTACCATACTGTGAGGATAGGCATATACACGAATAATACTGAATTCAACTAAAGTGAAAGTATAAACTATGAAAACAATCTCAAAATTGTCACCATGACGCTCACAAGATGAAAAGCCTTTTAATGCAGTTAGAAACAACTAATTATTTAACTTGAAATGTACTCAATAATATAAGTCTTGGTACAACATTAACAAATCTACGATTAAGACTAGTATTATTAACTATTTAACTGTCTGTCTAGACAGTTGTGAGTGTACACGGATAGCTAATAAGGACAACAGACAGGTTAGCTGAACTCAAAATGGGTGAGTCATTACAACACTATGTTGTGTGTACAATAACACAACATTTCGAAATTATAAAATGAATAAATCTTAGTTCGTCACTGGGCTCACTAAAATTGTCTTAACCAGGTCGTAGACATGGTAACACTAAAAATATTTGCTTTCTGTATGCATCTGTTAAGTGAGATTACTTTTTTTAGTCCAAGTTCGAGTGAAATTTCAAACCAGTCTATCTTTTCTACTTTTTTAATCACAGTGGACATGAGTTCACATCATGTAGAGTGACTTTAAAGGACACCCTAGCAATTAACAAAACAACCAATCATCTTTCGGTATTTTATGAAATTGTCTTAGCTGAAATGCTTTAATCTGGTTGGTTATTTTGGCAGTTGTTGGGGTGGCCTTCAAAGCCCCCCCCCTAGGTTGTTTCATTGGATCTTAAGGTATCTCGTGCCTCATTTAGAATGGGGGTCTAAACTACAGGCTTTTCTGAGGGAATGATTAAATTCAAAGTGATTTTCATAAAGAATTTGTATCGGCTAGATAACTTGAAAGTCTGAGAACGTTAGATAGCTATTTCCTCCTAAGTTGAGATTTCTCAACATTGCTCACCTGTGGATCTGCAAAGAATTGCGCGTGAGGTAGACATGGTAAACACAATACTATCCAGCCACCGGATTGCAACCAGACAGTCCAAATTTTCCTAATTCTTTCAGTTTGTGATAGGATATTGCAAGCAATCATTCGAACGATTCAGCAACTAGTGTACGAACGGAGCATGCTTTCTACTCACCTATCATCAGGAAAACACTGAACTGGCCAAAATCCTCATTACTAATTATATTACTCCACTTACTTCTAGTACTAGGTGTGCAATTTGCGATAGCAGTAGTAGTTTTCCGATGGCTTGCCAGTTATTGACCATTTCTATAAGTTCGGTTTCACGTAGCTTTAAGTCCTCAGATCTGGAGTTTATCGGAATTGGAAATAGAGTGAGCAATTCACAAGCCAATTACATATTTGTTTGCTAAAACACAAGCTACATCTGCTACGTGAGTACTTATGGTACTTCATCATTGCTTATGTCTAGATGATTTAACCAGTGTCCTGTTCTGTGATTGTTTAATTGAATCTTGAGTGCTTAAACCATAAATCTCCCAATTAACTTAATCTTGGCATTTCAGTGTTTTTCCCCAACTCTCTAACTCAAACTCAAGTATCAGTAAAGTGTGATAGTTATCGGGAAGTTTTTCAATCGAAAATAATTATATTCCATTAATAGTGAATACATTCTCAGTCACACTTCTACATACAAAAGTACCTCTATAGACGAAGTAATCTCTGTATACTAAGCAGCTACCAACTATTTACGGTAAGTGATGTCCGACACATCGTTCATAGGAAGATGCTCAAGTTTCGTCCGAATGATATCCATTTAGAACTGGAAACCTCATGCGTGTAACAGGAGGAATATGACTAATCTGGTGTTCATCAATATCCTCCTGGGGCCAACTACTATTAGACTAGGTGAACTTTCTAGATTGACTCTTGGTATCCTACAAGTTTCCAAAAAAGTGAACCAAATGAGTATCAAAACCATCTACTCATGCTCGCACCAGTGAAGATATAAATAAGACAAATACACATAAAAACTGAATACTCCGACCATTTTTGAACATCTCAGTCATAATATGCGCATGACAAATGATTTTAGATATTCTTTTAATCACATAGGAATGGCCAAAAGATGATATGTGATAGAAATTTGAATTTCAAAATCGCATTGAGAAGGCTATCTCTATCGGCGTATGCTATAACGAAAAAATGAAGTTATGCTCTACCTTAGCATATATGTTCCAATCATACATTGAGAAATTCGTGGACTCTGTGATGTAATGTAAAGTGAGACGTTTGGGAGCCGTGCGAAGCCCATGATGTGATAGAAATGAAGAAATGGTTAGCACCCGGATCTCAGAACTCATTTTCTACAGTGCCAAGCCTGTAATCAAGAGACCAGTGGTTTGAATCCTTCTGAGAACCACGTTTCTACTTTATTTTTAATCACTAGGCCAGATCAATGATACCAGTCTGCCAAACTATGACCGTCTAGTATCATCTCACCAATAATGCGGGATGTTGTGCATAGAAACTTCTTGAGCATAAGTTTCAAATCTCACCAATGAAAATCACCCGACTACTCAAAAACAGTAAAATGGTAAAACGATACATGGTGTTTTACCATGCCAACTACTTAGAAAAAAGCCACAGACCTATTCATGTTTATAAGTAACCTTGATACCCTTCAGGGTCATTACCGTAGACTTTTATTCATTTATCCAATAAGATAACTATATGTATAATCATGTGATTCTATGGGAATTCCCAAGAAAGTTTGATTAATTCTAGGCATTTTCGAGGGTTTCGTGTTTTTTGAATAATATGGATTGTATGAATGCAGACCATAACAATTTTAGATTTACGGAGCCAATTAGGTTATGTTTATCTATGGTGCCAGAGGAGAACTCAGACCATATCTCAAATTTATTGAAATCAAATACCCCAGTCACTGGATTTCAACAAGCTAAATGTTTAGAGAAGTACAGCTATATTGATTCCCATCCGGTGATAAGTTTCTGTACCTTGCAAAGTTTTATGGTTAAGGTTTGTATAACTTTGTGATGTGTAGTTAACTATTTTTCTTTATATGATCATTTGGGAAAAATATTAGCAAAATACCGGTGATATAAGTTAAAGGGGAAGACGACTTGTTAACAGTCATTTACAACTTGCTTTTCTGATAAGCGGACTTTGAAGATGGAAAGTCTAATGTTTTCTCAATGAAAACTATGAGCTGTCAGTACATGTACGTGCACAGTTTATTATCTCTGGGACCAAAGTGAAGCGAATCTCAACTGACTAGTTCAGATTCTTTATTTTTGATTAGTAGAATAAGATATACTATATCCTCCTTATTCTGAGTATGAAATACGCCTGACTTACAGTCAGGTACACACACACACACACACACACACAGGTATTGTTGAATTTATGCAGTTACTTTGTCGTTACATATCATTTGCGTTTCGTGATTACGTTTATTCTGTAATGTGTAAATAGTATAAGCTTCTTTGGTTTTAGCTTTCTTTATTTAACTGACGGGATCTTCAAGTAACTAATAATTTGAAAACTTTTTCATGAATAATCATGTCTGTTTAATACCTGAAAGGTAGCAGCATTCAGGAAGAGTTTTACCAGTCATCAACCACGTCTGTACTAACAGAGTTACCACGTTTCAGGTATACTTCAGTCGCTTAGAGTTACTTCCAAACTGTTATTCTTTCTTCATCATACTAAGTACACAACTAGGCCTTATTTTACGTTCTGTCGGATAAAATTAGGTATAAAAAGTAACTGATTACTTCTTAAATATTACAGTTGAGATGATGACTTACAGACTGACTTGTTTACTCGGGGATGGAGGCATTTACTGATGTTCTGAATTTCCGATTGATTCTTACACTCTGTCGAATCGGTAGGTCTCTTTTGGCATGGGTTCACCAAAATAATGCTTCACTACTGCCTCAGGTTTTACTGCCATTGGCCTAGCAGACAATGAACTGAGATCTTAAGTGACGGGTGCTACGTTACATCCTCTGTGGGAACACTATCGCTCTTCTGGAGGCATATATACCCAGATGATATCTCTCAAACAGGACAAAATGTGTATGCTGAATTGTACCACTAGTCAACATCAAACATTAATCATCACAAGAATGAATAAATTTTTATGAAAACATGAGTTTTTGAAGAACTGGAGCTAATCATTCAGGTTTATTGACTTGGTGATAGGCTAAGTAGGAGAATAGTCTCAGTTGCTAACTAGATTCTTGTTTCTCCTCTCTATGCAATGAATCACACTTAAACAGTTATAAAGTATTTTCCAAAACTATGAAGTCGAATTATATTGGTCATTACACATTACATGTGTTAGAGAATGTCACATAACTGTTGGATTAGTCAACCTATTTTTCTATTTATTTTCTTATTTTTCTTAAGGTTTCATACAAAGCAACCAATAGTTACTCTAATAAAGCCATAAGACGTCTCCTCTGTTCCAAACGGCTAAGTATTTCAAATATATTCATTTGGATAAATATTAGTTGAATTTATTTTTTGAGTCTGACACCGTAGAATTTTGTGCCGGAAGGCATTTTCATCAGTATCAAAAGAACATTGGAATTCCACTAGAAGTAAATCATGTTAAGACTAAAGTAAGATCCAAATTATTGCGCTGGAATTCAGCTCAGTGAAGTTAACCAAGTAAATGCAAATGTCTTATGTAACAATGGATGGCCAAAATAGAACGCCTCCCAAAAATCGATCAACTTCATATATATAAAAGATACATGGATGATATTTTCATTGTTTGTAATGACAGCCTGGATCTGACACTCATCCTTCAAAATTTCAATGACAATAACCCTGGAGTTAAATTAACGTTACAAGCTGAATGAAACTCAACTTTTCACTTTCTTGGGATCTAACCTTTAAGCAGACTTGATAATTTCCCTCAAATATCCATCTATAGAAAGCGCACTTGGAGCCTCCAACTAGTCAAGTTTTAAAGCTGGGTGCTCTTAAGAAGGAAGTGAAATCTTATGCCCTCACTTTCATCAAAAGTAAGAAAGATATGGACTGGTAATATACTTACTCAAAAATGCGAACCCCTGCGAGAAATAGCTTAAGAGATTGGGTACCATAAAGATTGAGGGAAAAGTTATGAAAGAAAAAAAGAATCTAAGGCAGGTATAAATCGATACCAAAGGTGATGGTACCATGGGTATTCTTCGTCAACCCTTGTCAAAGTCTCTCAGTGGGACATTCTATGCTGAAAACCTCCATATTATTTTCTTATGACGGATTAAGTCTTTTCAGTGTGTAATTACAAGTTCGTCAGCTCCCGCGGAGCTGGGTACATTAGCTATGCGTTAGCTTGCCAAATGCTCTTGTCAGCACTACCCGGCTTGTTTGCTGAAAAGTGGGCACAGAACGGTCACCATCTTCATTGATGAATATTTTATAAGTCTTGGCAGTTCTGAAAACTCCGTTCAAAGTTCTCTACGAAGTTTGACCAAATCTTTCAAAGGGGGTTAGGACGTGATATACAGGTTGAAGCCAAAGCTTTGATAATTCACAGCTTCAAACCTTGGTTTTACATTAAAAAAACCCGTATGAATATTCTCTTCACCATGACCTTAAAAACATAATCTACACCTCTGTTTATACTGAGAGATGATTCAGGGTGAAATGAAAATTTGGGCTACAGAGGAATTCGAACCGGCTAACATAGGGGTTTCTGACCCGACACTTTACTAATTGAGTTACGAGTCCCGATAGCCCACAAGATTTTTATTTCACTTCAACCAACAAAGGTTTATGTTTTATTCAATAGTTCTTTATTTGTTCATGTATTTCTTTCTATATTAGATACCAAATCTTACAGTTCAATGTATATTCTTTGACTTTACCATAGGTTGTATGACCATTTCTTGTGTTATAAAATGCCTTTTCTTTCCCGCTATCCATCTTTGACGTTTAATCGTAAACCTGCATAGAACATTCTGTTACATTGCGTATATATTAACGACTGCTATGAAAATGAGTGATTGAAAATATAATTATTTTCGCCGTAACCCTCATTTGTTTTTCTAAAAAAGCAGTTACTTCACTTGTTATACAATGTAAATGGTTATGAATGAAAGTAATCTCTCAGTATTAACTGCATGAGTATGACTACCATTCAAAGTCGACTCTTTCACAGCACTTTCACAGCATCAGTGTTTCCTGATGAAAATTCTCTGACTATTTGTTGTTGAGTAGTAACGAAAGTAGAAATGTCTTACTGTCATAAATATACATTTCTTCTTTGGGTAACCAAATATAGAACACGGAATAGACGTTATCAAAAGCAATATTTTTTGTTCAGTGAACTGGATTTAATTTGACTAGTCAAGTTTCTGCAATGATGCTGAAAATCCAGTTTTTATTCTTTCATCAACCAACCAAGCGTTAGACTGGCAAAACATATTATTTTACAAAATCAGAATAACTTTTATGAGTATATGAATAATTTAATTCACATGATTCTCACGCTTTCATTCTCACAGAAATGAATAACTTCACTATCAACCATAGAATTATTTAACTTCAAGGTCACATACATGCATGGTATACAGGCTGCTAGATAGAGAAATTGTTTAAATGCATCTCAGAGTGATTTAAATCAAATATGTGGATCGACTGAACTTTAAAACTGTACTATACACCCTGTTATTATTAGATTTCGATGGTTTTTATTTACAAAAAGTATGCCAAAGTAGAATAATAATAATAATAGGTGATATAATGTACTCATGTAGCAAGAATGGTTAAAGCATAACTTCAGATTTATTAGTTCTTATGTATAGTGGCAAGAAAATATTTAATATGAAAAATATTTCATTTTACTCATTGACTGATCAAGATATTTTCCATTGTCCTTTAAGTGAAATTTAAGCTTCACTAATTTATAAAGTATTTCAGCTTCTAATCTAAGTTAATAAGAAATTTTAAAATTAGGATTTGTTCAATCATGAAATGTGTTCTATCCTGTTAATATGTTAATTAATACTCAGAGTTATCCAAAGTGATTTTGTATTCTTCATAGCCGGTTAAAGAATATGATATTACCATCCAAGTGGCATAAAACGCGTTGTCAACTACTTATTGGCATACGCGGATCGATTTAAGAAGACTATGTTAGTCTTGAATAATATTAGTAATGCCACGACCAACTTATCCTCAACATTTATGAATTAAACGACTTCAAACCTGAGGACAAGTGTTAACTTTCCTGAATTTGTTGACAATTTCCTATGGATATAAAAGCCAGTTAATCCATTTCTTACTGACTTATACAAGTAATAACAGATCATAACCTGGGGTTTATGGTTTAGAGACTGCTAAATTTGCCGAATCAACACTAAACACAGGAAAGATTTATGTATACTTTACGGCTGAATAGAAGGCAGTTTTTGATACCTTTACTCATAAACTACTACTAAATGTTATTTCTGACTGTCCTGAGTGTTGCGTTTGAATTTGAGTTTTCAGTAGCAGTGTAATATTGAACGTTGAGGTTAGTTGTAGCACAATTATTGGCCACGAAATCACTAGTCAAACTTGGTCCGAATAGCTCACCAACTGCAACACTGGGTGAGGTGGGTATGAGTACCACAGGAGATATCAATTCCCTCGGTACTGCAGATAGGACGTTCTGATGAGTGCTAAAAAACATGAAACCTAGTTCAAGCAGAGCTTCCTGGCGATTATCATCCAACCAACAAACATCAGTAATGATCAACGCCAAAATAATATTATAGGGTAACATTTAACGTTCTCCTGTAGGTGATTTGGATTCATACATAGAATAAGGAGTAAATTAGCTTCTACAGTTCAATTTCCTGCTTCTTACTGCTGACAGATTTGACATAAAGCGCTTTTCCTTTTATCTGATATTTTTCTCCGAGATGCATCTGTACTTGTGTTCTAGTTCTTATTAGTACTAGAATTCCTTACGCTAAAGTTTCATAAACATAGTATTGTTCTTTAAACTATTCATGACAAAGACTGTTTTTCAATGAATGCTGACTATAGTTTGGTCTAGATTGAAGCATAAATATTGGGTTCTCCAGCTCAAAAATATTCTGCTCAGTCGTTAAATAGTCGACTGACTCTGTATCGCCTTAAAATGCCCCTGGTATACTTCTATAGTTCCGTCACCTAACATTCTCATGAAGTTTCACCAACAGGATAAATATTATATATCTAATATAATACTTGTCTTCATGGAAGACTCGTCGAGACTTACCTTACTCATAGCAAATAAATTTTCTAACTGATAGTAAAATGCATAAAGGATATTGGCTGGTATTGGTTGTCCATAAAATAATATTCCACACTTGGCCAACTAAAATTGAAGCAAATTAGTGGAACAATGAATTAAATAGAGATAAATGTGTAAAGAATCACTGAAAATAACTTTTGTCCCGCAAAGGTAATATTTATATGACCACTACATTAAACGGTATGCATAACCTTTGTTGTGTATTATCTTCAGACTATTCAACAATGTATACTCAAAAGAATCTAATCTGCTTTGACTGAGTGTGTGAATGAATATGTTGGCGATGAGGTATTGTGTTGTACGATAGCACCTGACTCTGTTTTACTCCTCAGGAATCTTGACAAAGCGATAATTTCTAGTAGTTTCCGAACTACTTCTTTTATCAAGAACTATGTAATTTAGTTTCATGGTAAAGTAACACAGAATGACTGATTGTTATCCAAGATTGTGACTCTAAGGAGACTAAGTGTTTGAAAATATGTTTGTCAGTAGTTATCATCCTTCTCTGAAGATTCAATAAACTTAATGGGAAACTAGACAGTTGCTTTTTTTCTCCTTTTCAAACCTTTCATCAGCAGATGTAGTCGTGTATGGATTTAGCAAATAGTTTTACTGAGAAATGTCTAAGACCAAAGTATTGTTTGTCTAAGTACTTCGGCCATTAGTAGGGGGCTAACAATGGTAATTTCTTATTGAAGATTGTTGATGGGAGCAGGATGTTGTGAGATAGCGTAATCAGAACCATACCCTACGTTTTATTAGAAAACAGACCCCACTTGCTTTTAACTATCTGCTTTATTACTTAACAGTTCACAGTCTGCAGAGGTCGTATGTTCTGTGTTTGACAGCCAGTGTCAAATTACCACTAATTGGTATTAACACGCGGTTGTCTTCATCTGTCAACCAGCTGTGTAATGGTTTTTATGTTGTAGCTTGTAAGTTTCCCTCACTGATTGGCCGAAGTTGATCACTTTTAGCATGTTGGCTCTTGTACAGATACCTCAATATTGTCACGATTTTGAGTTTAGACATAAGTGATAGATGGTTACCAGTATTGGGATGCAAGAGGTAAGTTTTTTTATCTTTTTGTGACTTGTCAGCTGGATGCAGCTGCCTCCAAGTGAGTGATGTTGTTCCCCTTCCAATTCAGACTCTAATGCAGGGCCGATCGCTCCAGATACCAGAGCGTTATCCTGGTCTTCTATTAGAGTCTTGGCGAGAACAACATCACTCAGTGGGCACATCCGACTGACGAGTTCCAAGTATAAAGAAATGCTTTCCCTGTATTCCACTTCTAGTCACTTTGCATCATAATTATCTAGGTTGTACACTGTTTACTGAATAGTCTGTATAATTCGTCTTCAGAGTATCAGACTTCATAGACACGTACATCTATCTTTTAGTTCTATCTTACATGAAACGCATTTGTATGATATAGTCATCCAGCTGACTGACTGACAAAATCAATTTGACACACTTCACGGGCCTTCTGTATTTTAGCTGAGATTTCATCAACAACCAGCCAATTCAGGCTGATGTGACTCCCCAAGTAATTAGACTGGTCAATATATTGCACCACTTCACTCCCTATTATTAAAGTGGGAATGAGTACAGACCATCATCTGACAGTTGCCAGTGTAACACATTCCAAACATACATGGATTTCTACCCAACGCGTTCAGAACACCCTGCATTTTTTCAGAATCTTCGCCTGGCAAGACATCATCTCCACACTGCAGGTCAACCATATGACATCCAAGGAGTGTCAGTCCCTGTGAAGTCAGATGTACCCAAGGTTACGCCCATTGGTATATCTGTGACGAAGTTAAGTAAGAATGTTAACAGTGGGTATCTCTGCGGGACACCATTAATTTTCGTCAGTTCTCATGACAATTCTCAATAGGCCCTGATACAGCTGAATGAGTTCAAGCAGAGAGCTTTGATTAGCGCTGTCTGTTTGCCCAGTACTCTGATCACAGTCAGATACTGCCATAACATCTCACGACTGACAGAATCAAGTGCCACCATCAGGCCAAGAAATATAGCAACCATCGGTCGCCGATAGGTGTGTTTGTGTTCCAGAACTTGTCAGAGGGTGAAAATACGACGGACATATTCACCGAAGGGTAACCTATTTAGCTTTCTAGTTCTAAGTACTCAGCGCTTATCGAAGTCTACCGGTGAAGTTTATAACGTTGTCGCACTGAGCATCTAAAACTAGGCAGCTCCATCGGTTGCCCACTGGTGATTAACCTGTGTACTTGATTCAGTCCTATTTAGGGTTAGTCACATCATTAATAGCTAAGCGATTCAATCTCTTGCTTCAGCAATGAATGACGCAGGCTTGAATCACAGAAGAAACATCAATTTCTGCATAGTTGCATATATGCCTTGCTACTGAATGCCAAAATGCTAGAAACCAAGGTCTCCGGTTTCTCGCCGATTGACTGCTGACATCCGAAACCCAATTATCCGTCATACTTCATATGTAAGGATGCACCAGGTAATATACATATACGAATGCTTCTTTAAATGTAATGAAATACTTTAACTGGATGAATCCCTTTATATTTTGAAGGATACCGACTAGAAGAACGACTGAAGCACTTCGAAGATGGTTAAGAAATTAATACATATTAGAATGATTTTGCAGCAAATGCACAGTTTGGTTTAGTAGACAGACAACAACTAGTGTAAAGAACTCAGTTGTACTAATCTTTTGTTTTCATCAAAGAAGGTAGATTTCGCCGTAACACAATAGCTGAGAATGGCAGTAAATATGAAAATTACTGAACTACAATTAGATATATGGAACAAGAAAATGATAAAAATTTACTTCATTTGTAAAAAAGGCAAGTAATCTCACCGTTTCACTTGATACTTAGAAAATACTATAATTTTGCGCGTAATATGATCAAGTAGGGCTTGGTTTACACAAATTAAAAAGTTCATATTACACTCATATAACCTAATAAGATCAGTAATGAACACTCATGACCATAATTTGTAAGTATATGATAAAGTTGTTATTGTTGATTGATGTTTGTAATTTCCGCTTGCTATAGTTGATCTATTTTATCAATCTTTATCAGTATATGAACTCCATTGTAGATGTCTCATTATTACCTGATTATTCGTTAGGTTGTAGTTTGCTTGGTGTTGACTAGCAGTGGAATGCAGAATGCGGGTTTCATCCTTCTTTGAACTCGTCAGCCCGATATGCCTAGACCCCAGTCAACGGTGATTTTCACACTGGGACTCAAACCTAGCACTTCAAACTGCCAAGCACCATCCACTAGACCACTTAGGCGTGAGAGCCATTTCTTGTGAAATAGCCATCAATTATTATCATCATTTATTGGTACTTGTTATATCGAGGCATCTGCATAGGAACCCCATATGCCAACAAGCATTGACCAATTCGACCCAGAATATCAGCGGCAAATTACAACATATTTTAAAGTCCTACTTATATGGTGGCCATAATCATCTTCGTTGGCTTATCAAAATAAACCCTTAAACTAAATCCTGAGGGTGAAAGTAGGCATAATCGGTAGAAACTAATAGCCCTAATGGCTTTTAGGTTCTCTGATATGAAACTATACGCATCAGTGTATCAGATTAGTATATTTAACATTTCCAATACAATTATTGGAAGCGTAATTTTCTGTCGACAGTGAATTTCTTTCGAAAGAAATTCTCATTTAATGGACACCGAAGAGATATATTCGATACAACAGCAAATGAATCAGCTATACCTGAAGTAGATACATAGTATAACTGCTTACTGACACATTTCCCTACGCTTCATCACAGTACAATGAGAAGTTATCCAATGAAAATGGATATAAGGGGAAATCTATGTGTGACTAATGATGTTTAAACTGAAAGAAGTAAGCAGAAAAGAATGAAAGGAGGAATAAGGCTATTGTCAGATTTAAATGGTGATGGTAGGGTTGGTATACATTTTCACCACTGTCAAGTAGTTAAATGCTTCATAGGCCAATGCCATATCCTAGTCTATCCATCATAGAACTTTTGTGATCAGACTCTTATTCCAAATAATATGATAAGCCGAAGTAGATTGTGATTAGGTGATGTTCTCAGCAACCTTAGCAAATTAACGTTCACAATCTCATGAACCAATGGAGTTGCGGGCTAGAGTTTTACCATATCGCATATGCGATGGTGCAGACACCAATGATCTGTCCTATAATAATAAAAGTTGGTAAATGCCTCTAGCCTTCTCATACCCACCACCTTTAGTATTTACAATGATTTACGATAATTCGACCAGTACATACTACCATGCATCTTAATGTCTTACTGGCACTACAGTTGAAACTCATAGTCAAAGGCTAAATGAATACCTTCTACCAAGGATGATATTTTGCCAGCCATCGGAACATAATGCTGACGTCACTTCTGAGATAAGTGATGAAGTTGGCACTCTTAGAAACCTTGCCCTCTGTTTTTAGTCCCATTGTCATTACTGACCTTTTTACGTCTGGAAAATGCGTTTCATCAGCAGCATATAATCCTAGCAGAACTGTATCACCTAGCTACTCCAGGCTGGAAACAAGAAAAGAAGAATTTAACTTCCACTGTACTTAAACCAACGGCTGGGTACAGCTAAGGGTTCCAAAAGAAGCCAAGACAAGAATACAGTGAACTTTGAACCTTCATAGCTTTAAAAATAATTTTATTTTGTAATGAAACAGCCTCCATTTATTTGAATGTTTATCATTTATGGTTGAACAGCTCTGTGCATTAATTTGTACCTATGTTATGCGAGTGGGTTTGAAATGCTGGACTTATTTAAAACATGTCACCAGACTACTAACAGGTTAGGAGTTTATGCTACACGGATTTATACATATATACCACATTGCATTTACGATTCTCCAGCTTAAATGTTTACCTGGTCTATAGACGTTTGAACCGTTTTTTGTACATGGTGGTCAGCAGCCTCGGGCTATTGTATTTACACACAGTACGTTGGAAACATTTACCTGTTTAAATATGCTGGCGAATGAATGCAAATCTGTGAGGAACAGAATCTTGGTTCTTCTCAGTTTGCTATTGCTTTGGTGATGCGCACCCACATTATCTACAGGGAATAGAACAAAACTCTTTCGCTTCAAAGCTACACTACAACTTTGAATCAGTGGATATATCCATCTAGAAGAATTACGCTATATCTCCAGAATTTTCACTCCGGTATATGTTACAGAAATCTCTTCATGCGGCTTGCTAAAATTGAAGTGAACATCAGTGATTGCGAGAATGAACCAACGTTATAAAAGTAAAGGAGATGGTGCTAAATGTATTGGGCAAGAAGATTGAAATCTTTGATAAACCATTTCATCAGTACGCTACTGCTACGATATTGGATAATCTACATCTTCGGATACAATACCCACACAACGCTCATCTGGTCACATTAGGTAGATCCATACTGAATGTGTCAGCAGGGAAAACCTAATGATGATCTTATACTGAAAAGGGATAACGAAGAAAGAAAACTGATATGGTTTTTATATTGCACTGATTGAGGTAGGAGTTAAGGGACTAGGATTTCTGAGGTTGCAGCCATGTTTCACAAAAATACTTATGTACTTTTACTAGTTTTCAGTCGGAAAGTTTTATTGCAGTTAGTCGTTTTTACTTAAACTCTTAAAGTTGCCTATTCTTTTCATTTTACAGTATTGGTTGCTATTATCAAAAATAACAATTTCCAGCGCTGTAGATCTGATTAAAATTACGAATGTTCAAATTTTCAGCCATCAAGCAAACTTGATATGGCTTATATGTTCATAAAGAAACTACTACTAAGCTAGTTTTGCCATGATAACCGCAGATATGCATGGTACTCGTCTCGCTGAAGTCTCCACAATCTTGCCCACTTACGTGCAGCCCATTTTCCCAAAAAGACATTCATTTGGAAAACCTGAGCCATGAAATCATAATACCAACAGCAATGACTCTCTTTGAGCTCCCGAGTAACAACTAAGGCTAAAGATAACGACATCGGGATTTGGGAGTGAATATTTCTCACCTTTGCGAAGTAAGTGATATTCATTGCATCGTTTTCTTGTCTTCACATTCTAGTCCTATGTTCGGCATTATTTATAGGTTTGAATGACGTCATTTGTGTTAAATCACTAAAATTTTATCTTGTTTACATGCGCTCTATCCCACGGTTGCATTAATAATCTCCTTTTGTCCGTCTCTCCTTAAGACTTATGTACACTTATTTCCGATATAAATCATACCATCAACAGTTTTTGGTTTGGAATACCGTCTGATGACAAACACTTACTATGGTGATAGATAAAATGTTGCAACTAAGGTAAGATATTACTTTACTCCATAGCGGTTCTTTGTATATTTTAGGCGATATGCAATTAATATGAAGCCAGAAGAAGTTTGAAAAAGTTACTTTATCATTCCACATACCTCTTTCTCTGTGCTTTAACAAAATGTTTGAACTAACAGGGGAAATATGCTCATTTACCTTCGAAATATATTCTTTTCTGGGTAAATAGGCATCATTTCACCAGTATTGTGCAAAAAACAGTACTTAAGAACTAATGATGAAATGACAGTAGGTAGCGTGGGCTTCAGTGGAAGAGTGAACTTAATTATTTCTTGTTACTTCAAGGTTTGATTCAGTAATAGTAGAAAAAGGTAAAAATCAATTATGATGTTCTTCATAAAAACTGATTGAATGTCTCAATAAACTATTTATAAGGTAGGATTGATTATCAAAGAACTGAAAATAGTAATTACTTAAATAGCTTTTCAACTTTATTTAACCATCAATCTGTGAGATGCAGTTTAAATGGCTTCTAAAAAATTGATAGGGTGTTTGTATGATATTTGACGTGTTCTGATAAAAGAAATTATCATAGTTTTGCTTTGTTTTGCTACCAACTAGCATTTGGCACCATTTAGTACTTCATTTGCATTGCAAAAACTAGTTTGCTGATATTAAATACAAGTTATTTCAATGTCTACATATTTAGAAAACTAAGTTGCAATAGATTATATTTTTAAAAGAATTCGTGGTGAATAGAAAGACCTTTTGTTTCATAATGACAATTTAGAGATAGGCATATATTGAAAACAAAACCCAGCTGTTCAGCTAGCGGTTTATGGAGAAGAAAATGATTTCATAGCAACAATCCATACCCCTTACAGAGGATGTGACTATCTTTCCCCGTTGGCTTAGTGGATAACACTTTGGGACTTGAAGCAATTGATACCGGGTTCCAGTCTCAGTGTGAACAACATTCACTGAAGTACAGATACTTCCAGCTGACAAGTCCCAAACAGGATAAAATGTGCATCCTGGACCCCTCTGTTAGTCATCAACATGAAGGTTTCAAAGTATGTTTCATTAGGGATTGATGTCAGTTAGAAAACTGCTTAAAATCCTAGAGCACTGGAGAGCTGTCTGATCTCAGTTTTGGACTCCTCACCAGCGCCCACCCTATATCAAGAGGCTTTGTTACTCTTTAAGCAGTTTTTGATATTGGCCTCGGGTCACACTATCCACTTGGTGGTGGTTTCTATTCACAAGCATTGGTCAGTATCTTATAGAATAGACAAGAAGATGATAGTTAAAGAAAACCTAAACTTTTTCAACATAGTATTCTTCTTTCTCTCTTATATTATGTCATTTGAGGTTTGGTATTTTTCCATACGTCACCAAGCTGTTATTTCTGAGGCTTTGTATCAACGTGATAAAAGTTGATAAGGTACATACAGCTGACGAGTCCCAAATAGGACGAAATGCGCATCCTGGATTCCACTGCTAGCCACGATCCATCATTAATATTACAATATATTGTTTGCAAAATGTGGTTTACAGTATGATTTGAGTTACTTACAATTTCTTCATGAGTTGGGCGTTTATATTCTAACCCTGAGTACCAAAGGCTTTCACAGTATTGCCTGAGGGTGTCCTGTTAAAAAATGTACACAAATGGTGTAAAACACATTAATTTCAATTGAAAATACAGTTATTTAATCAGTGGTAATTTTGATAAATATTATAAAAATTATGAAAGATCAAAATATACAAAGTCGGTTCGTTTCATCCTAAAACTTCCAAGTAACACAAAGATATAAACATTTCCAGAACCAGGACCAGGAAATCTTCACATTACATTGGAGTTTTAAAATGCTTTACGTGAAACATAGTTGCTTATTTTCGCAAAATTCCACTGTAACACCTTTTGGATGGTAGCTTTATGAATGTATTGTTAAATACTTAAAGAACTACCTTTCATAAGTACTTGTTGGCTTTACGAAGCAAAAGAATCATTCATAATTCTTATCCTAAGATTTGACGGGTAGTCATTCATTCATTAAAACTTTGACTGACATCAAATAGAACAGTATTTCAGACGTTTGTTTTCTATATTATGTAAGATGAAACTGTCACCTAACGTACTAAGCAATCAGCTTCAACCAGTAAGTTACCATCTGACAACCCACTTTCACAAACCAGGTTTCGGCAACCAGACAATGCATACATGCATATATAAGTGTAGCTCATTGCTCATCGCTACTAACCTGGGTGCCTGTTTATCATTCTTAAAGAGGGGTTAGTATTGCTAAGCTCCAGAGTTAAATTCGAAATATTCGATTCCAACCATATGTGTAAGTATCGTGTAGGATACACTAAGTACTACGATATCGTGGTGTTAAGAATCACGTGTACTGAAAAGTCATTTCATGTTTTGTATTTCGGAAATGAATGACAGACTTTCAGAGTGACGTAGTAAAGAAAGACAGACAAATCTTTTATACAAAGATATTCTACTAATAAAAAATAGAGAACTATTCGAAAATCTGAAAGAACATTTTTTAACTCAATCAATGTTTCCATCCGAATGTCTGTATTCTAAACTACCTGTAATTGAAAGCATTTACGCCTATATAAAATAAACAAACCATAAGCCTTCCTCTCATCTGAATTTGCTACTAGTCTTGTCCATTTAGGTCTTTTTCCAAAGTTATATTAGTGTTAAACTACTACGCTGATTCAATGTTTTATTTAATTCTAATTATATCCATCTACTCTAAGCATTCTTGGGTATGAATGATTCAAAGTCATTTAGAAATGTTCATTATTCTAATCTGTTGAATTATTTATTCAAGTGATGTAACGATCAGCAATAAAACCCTATCAGTAGAAGACAAATATAAAGCTGAAATATCTCGATGGAACTAAACAAACACTTGGTGATGAAATTGTTTAGTTTCTGAAAAAGCATCATATTTCTGATACCGCCTAGGGTAAATTTGGACAAGACAGAATCATTATGGACAGATTAGACACCTTTTGTTTATAATTCATTTAATATATTATACAGTCTAAGATAAGATTCCATAACTTTGGGAAATGTTTTGTCAAACTGCTTTGCTTTTTCCGTTGGCGCTTTTTACACTGTGTTATAAGTAGCTCTTTTAATTTTAAGCCGAAAATAAAAACAGAGCAGTTTATTCTTTTCTTTAAACCTTTTCCTTTTCCTGTTTCATCACATCCTAATATTTAAGAGTCGCTGGTTACCATAATTCGACACGTTTCGCTAACCTACTCTATCGTAGGATCATCTTATGATAAGATTATAGTATTTCATACAATTCTTTCTTTTCACAAATTTAAGTAGAACGATAATAACAGCTTAACCATCCATCAACTCATATGTACTTGCCAATGTGCATATATTGGACAAGCAAAAAGAAATATTTGTGATGGTATGTCGAAGCATATTCTAAGGAATTTGTCACTGAGAGGTGGGAACGTCTTCAACAGTGCTGTAGTTCATCATCTGATTGATAGTGAATATGAAGTCGATATTCAGACGTCGTTCAGAATAGTTAATAAAATAGATGAATTCCAATTTTCTGCGTTTCAGTGAAGCATTAGCCATTAAATGATTAAAATCAAACTGATGAGTACAGAAAGAAACAGTTATCAGTCAGCTGGAAAGTGTTAGAGAGAGTTGAGTACTCGAACACTTATTGTTGTTTAGATAAAAGATGAGCTATCTGGTTTTGCCATTTCTATGTTTATTTACAAGATTAGATGCTCCTGTAAAGAATGCTATACAGGGCATACTACTAAACAACTTAACAAACGTGTTGCTGAGTATCCACCTTCGTGGTTAAGGAAGGGCAGGATAAAATTCATTACAAGCTCTGTTTCATCTCATCCTGTTAGTAGTCATGACTTGTTAGGCAAGAACGTTTTCAAGATTATTCACGGAATACCGCCTAATCTTTCGAAAGGTATTCATAGTTGTCTTTTACACATAGCAGAAGCTGCTGGAATTCGAGCTACGAATCCTAGTCTTTGTATCCAGAATAAGTTTGTACATCCTTTATCTCTTCATCAGCCATATGTAATAAACAACTTTATCATCGAAATTTTCCTAGCCCTTTCTTATTCTTCGCCCCTTTAGTCAACACTCTCACTATTATTATTTGTACTATTTTTATGATTGTCACCATCGTTATTGTAAAACACTCATCATACATTAACTGAAAAATCTGCATGGTAAGTTTAAAACAGTCAGTTCCCTTTATAAACTTCGACAAAGCAATAGGAAGATATAAATTGTCTGAACCGTGTAATGTATTTGCCCAACGCATTTCGAACTATCCGGTCATATGTACGTGTCATAAGTAGTTATATGAAAATTCATAAAGATAAAGGGTGAGAAAGTGAAAAGAGGTCAAGTAGGAAGGCTGAATTAAAGACCAAATAACAATGAAAACCAATGGTGCATCCAACTTGGTTTTCATAGCTGAATTCATCTTTGAATACACAAAAGTGGTTTAGACATCTTAGTAGCTAAAACCCCAACACATTTTGTAAATAGGTCTAAAGGAAAAGACAGGTCGATCCTGTGACCTATCTCAACGATATTTTTCGTGATCGAAGAACTGTGGGTTAGGGTGATTTAATTTGTTTCTGAATCCACTGTGGAACATGTTCTAAGGCCCTTACTTGGATGGATCTATAAGTCCTCCCCATGTATGTGTCACAATACGTACATTTGAATTAATAGATACAGTGAGCTATGACAGTCTTTCACATGCAGTAAGGGTTCGAACCCTAGCTGCACAGTTAGTCCTTCTAACAGCAACGCTAAGCCTCCGCTTAAGGACTGCGTTATTAGTCACCTATGTACAGAAGACTGATGACGGCATCTTTCTTTGGGACAAAGTGATGGGCTGGTTTTAGTGCTCCCGTTATTTTGTGTTGCCTACTAATAATGATTAGTTTAATTTTCATACATACTTAGCTACTTATATTAGAGTAAAACCTGAAGGGGATATAATTGAAGCAATACTGTTCGCTTATATGTCTTTTTCTAATTTACATGATGGGAAATTTTAAAACTCTTAATCATGATAGGTCAAAGTAGTTGACCAAGGTCGATTGGAATAACACAGCACGAAGACATAGCTAGATCAAGATTAATAGATCCTTATAAGATAAGGAATTCAGAGAAAAGCTCAACTACACCCATGCACGTAGCTGCACACAAAAGGGTGGAATATGTCAACAGTGTCGAAAAGTAACTTAATTGGGTGGCTGGAGAGAGTGATAATCGAATCGAACCAACACCGAATACACACAATAAAAAATGATTCTGCAACTGTCCTAAATATATCTGAAAAATTCTACTGCCCATACAACGTGACATCATGGAAACCGCTTCTTCACAAACTTGTTGCTGGGCTTCTACTTTCGTGGTCCAGTAAGGACCAGATAAAATCCATCACAAGTTCTATTTCATCTCATACCGCTGATAGGCCTAACTTTCCAACCAACCTGCACAGTATATCCAAAATACCACGTCACATACAATGATCAAAACAAAAGCGTATTTAGACAAACATGAGATTTCTCATAATAGTATTTTCCCTACACATGCACACCTACTCCCATGTAAACATATTTTCACATCACCTTGATTATTATTATTTGTCCCCTGGGTTCCAAGTAAGACAGGGCTTTACTAGTAGGTCACCATTTTGCTCTCTTCTCTTCAGTCTTCTCAATCTGACCCCCCGACAGCATTGCAGTATTTCCTTCTGGAATTCTTATTTAGTGATACCGACCCATTAGCCATTGAAAATACATGACACGGTGAGAAACATCTATTTGGCGGAATCTAATGTCTTATCCTTATTGTATAAAGAGCTTTCTGCTCACAGAATGGTAAAAGTGATCACTAAGAAAACTGACATGTCACTTGAACGAATAGCTGTTTACTTTACACCTGAGTGAAAGACTGTTTAAGCTCATTAACTGGAAGCCTGGGAATCAATGTATTGGCCATCATCAAGAAGGCGCGTATGTAGAATTCAGTTTGGAGACTCATGGGGACCTATTTATTGCAAGTTGGTATTCATCGCAGACTGACATTTCTTAGATCTCTGGAGGGGTGATAGATCTGCACAGCTCAGAAGTCCTTTTCTAAAACGAAACAGCTATCTAGTACTCTCAGGTTTGCAATGGTTTTGCAGCTGATGTTAATCTGTGATGCATACCAATATGATATATGTATAACTTAAAAACTTTTGAACCCCCATCAATCAGTGCTATAGTCATAGGAGCGTAACGTGGAACCTAGTTTCAGTAGAAACTGTCGATTGGCTTCTAAAACCTGTCACCAAATACATTGAACCACTATTTTTTCACCTACTTGCTAAATTTATCAGCGTGGCTTATTCAGCTGTTGGGACTAAGGATAACAACCCTGGTTAGTTTTCGATAACTGTTTTGATGTGATTCACCTTTCGGTGGTGCTTTTGTATGGATGATTTAAGAACATAAACAGGCTAAAGATAATAAGCGATAAATCAAAAATAGTCAAGAGTTACATAGTTTGTGGGTTTAGAGCGTTTAATATAGAACTAAAGTTTCTAAAACCTGGCAAAA